TCGCAGTTCGCCCTTCCTCCCGGCCGTTGTATCATGGATTCTCTTTGTGCTAATGGGCTTTACGGCTTACCAAACTACTCGCCAGGAGTAGACGAACATTATGGTAAAACTCACAACCCTGTAGACGAATGAGGAGCCGGGATACGAGCGGATATATAAGTTGGGCAACCGTCAGGAGGACGCAGATGAACAAGCAGTAGGGAAAACAGTTTTCAAAGCTCACGAGAAAGTCTCCGGCATCATCACCAATGAGTACAGGGGAATCGGTATAATTTGGGTTACCGTCCGAGACTTTTGACTTTTGTGTTTTCAGACCTGAGGATCCTTGTGGGGCATCATCACCAAGAAGTACAGGGGAATAGGCAGCAAATAATCCATGAGAAGGCGTAGAAGCCTTCGAAGTATGTTGTAAGTATGTGCGGGGGGTAGTGTAGTGTACCGGGTGGTGGGGGTGGGGAGAGGAGGGGGAGGAGGTCAGAGCTTTTGGGGGGTTGAGAGTGAGGAGGGATGGAATGGAAGGGGAAGGGAAAGGAGGTGGGCCCTCCTCTGCTTCCCTCGTTGGCCCTTCTGTGTAAACTGGGTAGGGCCACCACCACCACACAGCACAGACACAGTCGAGAAGCCGGGGGAGGGGACCTAGGGGGACGGGGGGTCGAGCCTCGAGTCGACTAGAGGCACCCACATACCGTAACCCACTCCCCCTTCCCCTTGCTGCTGCTGCGCATACTCCACACCCACCTGTTGAAGAGAGAGAGAGGGGTTCTGTCTGTCTGTCTCTCTGTCTGTATGTCTCTCTGTCGGTGGTGTACGCGCTGTGACCCGAGCCCCTATGGAGTGTCGATTACAGGTCAGCATCTAGCTAGGTATCTGGGTAGGAGATGCTAATTTTGGCCTGGAAATGCGAATGATCTTTGCAAAAATCGCCATTCTTAACTTTTAACCCAATCAAAAATGAATTCTTTTTTGAACGCTAAAAAATTTCAGCGGGATCAAAGCCTTCTAAATCCAAAAAAGTCTCAATTTCTCAAAAATCTTATTTTTCGTTCATGTCCATTTTTTTAAATCTTGCAAAAACCAAAAACTGCTTTTTAGATAAAAAAACATTCCATTACATGTGGAATATTAGCTTCAACTACCCTCAATCTTGTAGCATTCCCCCAAAACGCAAAAAGAAACACCCCCGCCGTGGATCGAACTCTGGTCCAAGACCTGACAACCATTTAGCCACGGGCCCCGACAGTGCAAACATTCCTTAGAAAGTAAAAAGTTCTTCGGCGGCGGGATCGAACCCGGGTCGACCGGCCGTTAAGGCTTGCGCACAACCAATTGGCTAAGAATACCGACCGATTCGCCGTAGAAAACAAAATTGAACTTCGGAATCCGGGCAGGGCCGCCTTGAGGTCTAGCTCCAAGGAATTGAAGGCAAAGTTCGAAGGAAGAAGCGGAAAATGGTGGGGGGGGTGGAGAAGATGGAGAAAAGCCGACGACCCCTGTGGAAAGACAGACCGGACCCCCTACCCACCAACCAGAAGCCAACGAGAACAAACCGGCCCTTCCCCCTAGCCCGTACACCGGACACCTATAGACGGGATGCTGAAGGAGGAGGGGGAGGAGGAGGGGGATTAATGGAGGTGGTCGAGAGCCGGTCACATCTCCTTCTATGGAAATCTCCTCCCCCTCCTCATGCTGGTTCGAGGCAAAAAGTGAAGCCAATCCTGCTCCTCTAGCCATACCCAATTTGCCCCCACGGGCCGGTTCGGGCAGGGGCGAGGCGGCTACGCGATGTTCCGGTTTACACCCCTGAGGCTGAGCTGACCCTTGCTCCTTCCTTGAAAGGGATTTGGGGATTTCCATAAAGGGTTTCGAAAGTTGGTTATTTGGAAAGACTTAGTTTCGAAAGTCCAATTTCTAAAAATTTCCGAATCGCTCCGAATTTCGAAAAGCACTTTTTCGAAAATAAATTTTTCGATGATCGGAATTTCGACAAATTTGCTTTTTACCTTTCACAAAAAATACCACAATCGATCGAGAGTTAAGTTTCGGAAATCGATCGCAACGACTTTCGAAAAGTGATTTTCCAAAAAAAGGAACGTTAAAGGAGCAAGCCCAAAAATTGACTCCTCATTCCCGATTTCCGGTCATATCTCCTAAATACATATCTCCTAATTCCATATCTCCTAAAGTCATATCTCCTAAAAGTCATATCTCCTAAAAGTCATATCTCCTAAAGGTCATATCACCTAAAGGTCATTACCCCTAAAAGTCATTTCTCCTAAAAACCTTGCTTCAGGAATTCAGTAGATACAAGCAAAAATATTTGTAACCTTTTTCGGAACATCTACAAAACCGCCCACAGGCTTCGAAAAAACCCGATTTGATCATTCTAAGATGGTCGCTTAATAGTGAAAAACATCGGATCAAACGCAAGCTAGCTGTAAATTAAGCAAAAGTTTCGCGCCCGTGAAAAGCGAAAACATATCATAGATCTCAACATAAAAAGGGAAGTGAGGTTTTTAGTTCGGGTTTTTCGAAGCCTGCGAGCGGTTTTGTAGATGTTCCGAAAAAAATTACAAAAATTTTGTGCTTGTATCTACTGAACTCCTGAAGTAAGGTTTTTAGGAGATATGACTTTTAGGAGAAAAGACTTTTACGAGATATGACTTTTAGGAGAAACGACTTTTAGGAGAAATGACTTTTAGGAGATATGACTTTTAGGAGATATGACTTTAGGAGATATGGAATTAGGAGATATGTATTTAGGAGATATGGAAATGACCCCTCATTCCCCTAGGCCTCGACAAAATCCGGAAAAATCCAGAATAATCCTTTTTCAGTGCCTTTTGAGCTTAGAAAACTACTAGAGCAAATCTGCAACCACTCCCCTCAGTAAAACCCAAAAAGTCCACGACGGACGGGAGTCGAACCCGGGATGCGCGCCTGAAAGGCAGTCCCACTAACCATTACACCATCGTTTAGCGAAAATTTTGGCGGAGAAATCTTCTTTTCAAACTCTGTACTAGAGGGGTCCCCCCCGGGGGGTGGGAAAGCGGCCCCCGGGGAAGGGGGGGGGGAGGGGGGGGGGGTTTGGGGGGCTCCGGGCGGGGGGGGGGCCGCCCCCCCCCCCAAAAGGGGGGCCCGTTTTTGGGGGGGCTTTTTTCCGGAACACCCCTTTTTTGGAGAGGATGGCTTGGAAAAAGAAACTTTTGAAATATGATGAAGAAAAGGGTTTTAAAAATGTAACATTACATAAAAATAAATCTAACAAACCTGGACCGAAATTTTATGGATTTCAAGAAATTAAATAAAGTTGAATAAATTTTAAATGGAAACTAAATCGGTTTCCCTTAAACTAGGAGGCTTTTCCCCAATTTCCAGCCGATCGTCTTTTTCCACGGCCTCTTCTCTATTTTCTTAGCAATCCTCAGACATCAGCACTGCCCCCACTGCTTTTTTAAACCGCGCCCTATCCCCCGCAAAAAACTACCACGAATCGACAAATTTAACAAAATTAAATAAACCGTATTTATCAATAATCTTACTTTACAAATTTGTGTTAAGAATATTGGAATTTTGCGGCAAAAAGGCTGATTCGACTAAATTCGAAATTTTTCGCATTTTATTGAGGTATTAGAGGGCTTTTCCGTTTGAAATATAGTTAATTTTTACTAAAAACAGGTCGCAACACTTAAGTTACAGTACTAGGCATTTCTGGATAATGCGATAATGCGAAAGAACCCAAATTCCTAAGGCATCTCTGCACGCTTGCCTTATCTATCGCATTTTCCCAAAAAACTTTATTAGCCATCTACACCTCTAGCAAATCCTAAAATATCACTGCTAGCCTGCCTTCAGCTAGAAAAACAGTACCGTAATCCCGACCAACAAAGAAAAAATGGCTCTAAAAAGGGAAAATCCGGCTAGACCCGAAATTTGAGGTCATCTTCTGGGGGGGGGCATCGACGGCGAAATCAACATCCCGAATCGGCCCATTTTATTGCCGATCCAATCGCGCCAAGCACCCAAAAAAGGGAACACAATTTGGGGAGGATGGGGCGAATTCAGATTTTCCAGTCTTTTTTTGGACTCTAGAAGGAGCCCACCAGGGCTGTGGAGTGTCTAATGGCTTTTTCGATTTTTCGCCGGCCGATCATCGGATAGATACAGGTTTCCCGCTTTTAGTGGTCGATTTCGCTGCGAAAAACGTTCAAAAGCATTCGTTTATTAAATACAATAATAAATTCTAAAAATAAACACGCGTTGGCAAGGCATTTCAGGGAAGGGGATGAGCACCAGGGTACAAAATGCAAAATAAACGGTATACTGTAGCCACTTTGTACAACATTTAGAGCGCCATATTCTGAGGGGAAGAAGAGCACCCAGAAAACCAATACAAAATCCAAGGAAAGCAAAAAATATTAGGATAAAGCTATGAAGCTGGAATGAAAAACGGCGGTAAATTGTCGGTACTGGTCTGTTGGCGGGGGGGGGGGGGCCGTGAAATATGAATATTGATCCTTTTCGATATTTTACACATTTTTGGGTATAAAAATCCTCAAAAACCCAAGAAAATGGCCTTTTTGGTAAATAAGTTCTAAAAAAATATCCAATAATGGTAGAAAATCATTTTCAACATCTCTAATTTTTTTGCATCATTCCTAGCATTCAAAAACTACCAAAGAATCTTTTGAACATAAATTATTGATTATTAACGTTTGCTAAATGCGATTCATAGATTTATTGACCTTTGTTAAATGGAAAGTTTGGCCAAGCTATAGGCGGAAAAATAAAAGATACCCCCCGCTAACAGTTCAGTACCAGATTTTCCGGTCGATCAACAATTCGAGGCTCGTCGACAGTCGCTGAGGTCCGGGTCTGAAATTTTTGATTTTTGTCGTTCAGAGTGAAGTTCCCGGAGAAGCCGAAATGAAGCAAGCAAAAAAGAGGGGAGCCTGACCCGGAAACTAGGCAATTGTGAATAGTAATAAAGAATAGATACCTCAACCCTTCGATCCGTACTCTGAAAAACGATTCTATATTTGGGGTTTCAAGCCGGGGGAGCTTGGGTTTTACGACATATTGAAGCTTGGCTTCGCTCAGGCTTGGCTTAGGCTTAGGCTTGGCAAAGCAAGCTTTTTCTCACTCATAAGCCCGGCATGGATGAGGGCTTCGCGGATACGGTCGTTGACGACCACTTGGCTTGGTCTTGGCCCCGCACGGGTTTCTACAGCTTAGCTTTTGAACTTGGAAAATTTGGGAAAGCCACTTTTGCTTTTAAAAAAATCAAGAAAACGAACTATAACCTCGGGATCAGCTTCAACAAACACATTTTTAATACCATTCTGCGCTCTAGCGCTGTTTTTACCCTACCTATCATGCCAGCCTGGATCAGCGACTCGCGCCGTTCGCGTAGCCGTGCAAAGGAACGCACGTAGTGCACGCAGCGGAGCTAAAAAAAAGTTTTGCCATCGCAAAACTCAGTTTCAGCCCACCACGAGATAGATGGTGTAGAACACCAGCACCGCGAAGAACAACATGCCGAAAACAAGGCCAACAAGTCGAAGGGCCAGGCTCTCGCTCTGAAATCGAGATTACCGAGGTTTAGCGCTAACTTTTAAACCTTTAAGTCCAAAAATCTTCCACAATTTTAACTCACGACAGCGTCAAAATTGTTGCGATGATGCTGTTGCCAATTTCCCCGTTCATCCATACTCAATGTGGCCGTTTCAACAACTTCCATTTCATTGCTCGGAGATGCGATGGCTGACCCGCAAAATACCTAACGAAAAAGTGATTAAATTTAAAGAAAATAAATTAAAGAGCATTTAGCAAGCCTCTTTCATCTTCATTTTGTATGTAGATATATTTAACGTACAAAAACCCACTTGAAAACTATTAAAAATAGGCACTGGTCTTTTAGCGGGGGGCGTAGCGGGCCGGGAGACTCATTTTTGCCCCTTTAATCTTTTATGTTTTATTTATTGACAATATATATTTTTTCATTGTACAATCCGAAAATATAAATTTTTTAGCTTTAGTCGAATTTGTGTTAAAAATGACCATTTTTGATCGCAAAATCTGTTTTTTTTTGTATTTTTGATACAGATTTGTAAGGTTTTCACGTTTAGGAAGCGTAAAATAACGTTTAGAAACACTACCTTTATGTAAATCAGGGAAATGTAATGCTATAGAAAAAGCACCAGACGAAAGGTACCGTGAAAAATATAATCAACAAGCAGCGCGCCCCGAGCGTTGGATACAGCATTTGAGGGGAGTGCTTTTGGATTCCTAAACGATATAAAAGAGACCATAACCATCCAAACCTGCAAAAAGCAACACCGAACCAACGGCCATAAATAGGCAGACGAACACGAGACTCCCCAGAAACCAGGTGAGACCCTGAAATAAGTTTACAACTTCTAAACTGAATTTTCATACCGTTTCACTGGTAAATATGCATGCGATGGAGGTAGCTGCTACTGCCGAGGAGAGAAGCACCTGAAATTGTGATAAAAGCAAAAATAAAATCAGTTTTCTTACCTCGCCCACGGCCATAATCTTGAGGCCGGTCGGCAGATTGCAGCAGCAGCATTGCCATTTCGCGCCGTTCGGATCGAAATCCATCGCCTGAAATTTGCGTTGTTAAAAAACACAAGAAAAACACTTAGATAGCAAAATGTTCAATTTCATTCGCAAAACGAAGAGTGAAATTTATGAACTTATTCGCTGATAACCAAAAATCTCGCGTGAGCGCCTTTTTCCTCATTCTCTCCTTTGATTTCTTTAGGAATCCATTTTCAATCAACTACCGGAAGAATTTAATTGCTTTCCATTTACGTAAGAGAAACTACGTAAAACATTGAATTTTCTATGAAAAATTGCCGATTTTCGACCAATGTCGACTTCAAGTTTTTCCACCGGAAATATGTAGTTACGTTTCACTAAAACACTATTAAGACATTTCTTATTACGTTAGTGGACATTTCTGGATTTATAAAGACAACAATAAACCACCTTTTTCTCCCGTTCACAACTGCCCCAGCTGCTGCGCCTCGAGCTGTGCCGACTTCTGCTCGGCAGATTGTACCGCACCTAAAAATAAGGATTTGCTATCTAAAAATTCTAAATTACCGAATGTTGCTGTTTTGGGGATGAGACCTGGAGGCAGACGGTTGAACCGGTGATGCCTGGACCTCGTGGGTGTAGAGAGGGGCTGAGAACTAACGTTTTTCCAGCAAAATTCGCGTAAAACCAGCTTGTCGCCTATCTCAGCCTGGTTTTCATAAAACTGAGCTTCCTCTTGCTTTTCTTCCAATTTTTAGATGATTTAGATAAATAGATAGTCAAGTTTTCAGAGTTTTTAAGTTCCAAGTTCATTTTCAGGCTGCACCTTGCGCACTCGCCACTAGATGACGGACTCTGCGACATCGTATCTTCGGGCACTACGGTGGATGGGCGCCGTATAACGGTGGTTGGGATCCGGAGTGCCGGACGTTGACCGGATTGCCCGGTATTCTGACCCGGAATACCGCCGGGAGGAGGCCCCAAAAGGAGCATCATCGTCGCGAGGCCCTCCCCGCGCCGTGGCATCTCCTAATTTCGGGGTTGGCATCGGCTTTTGGGAACAGGAAGCTAAGAAATGAAAAAAAGAAAAACGAGCATGAGAATAAGGAAATTAAGCCATGGAAAAGCGCATAGCGATTCTTAGAAACCCGAGAAAGAATAAATTTAGTGAGAGGACTTTCGCCAGAAGAAAAATATAAGAATTTCAGAAGCCCGAAGCCTTCAAAAAAACTTTTTCCTAAGCTCGTGTTCATCGTGCTCAGAAAATCCCATGAAAATGACATGAAAAGCTATAAACCAAAATATAAATGAGATCGATCGATGCGGAATACCGAAAAGACCGATTTATTGCACTTCTACGGGAAAACGCTAGAATACCGACAAGCAAAATTTCGGCACCCAAAATCCCGACAACCAAAACAAAACCATGACAAGGAAAATCTTTAAAATGGTCCCAAGAATTTGTCGGGATTTCCGAAATCCACTTAAAAATGTCACGATTCTGGTTTGACCTTTAAAATCTCAGCAAAAATCCCCGCCTACGTCATCCCCAGGTGATTTTTGGTTAACCTAGAGGGTGGAACTCCCCACTCAAAAAAATTGAGACAATGGATGGGAAAAATGGGCCGCCCAAGCCGAGTGGAATGAATTGGACCCCGAGCAGTCGCTTCTCTCTTTTTTGCAAAAATGGACCTACATGGCCCAAAACACAAGGAGGAGAGGGGCAGAGAAGATGTATAATTGGATTTTAGTCTGCCGATGGAGGGCGAGAGAGCGAGCGAGAGAGAGAGGGAGAAAGAGGGAGAGAGAGAGCGAAAGCGCATGAAATTATCCAAAAAACGGACAGGCGCAATTTGCTAGAAACTTAGCGTTCTGACCTTTCATTATTTGAATTTGCTTCCCAGCAATTTTAGAAGTTCCCAATTAATCTGGCGGAAAATTTGGTTCTGGTTTCAGCGGAAAATAGCGTCTCCAGATTCGACCAAGGACTAATAAAAACAGGAACGAAAGGGCCCACGTTAGGACCAAAAAGTTGGACCTCCAAAAATCCAGGAGAATGGGGCCGCCGAGTTTTGCTTGCCTATTGATGTTGTCGCCCGGCGGAGTGTCTCGGAAAAAGGTCTTGCAGCCAAAAATTACCGCCTTTCCTGGTGGTAGGGAGAGAGAGAGAGCGAGAGAGAGAGAGAGAGAGAGCGAGAGAGAGAGAACGAGGAGCATGTAGGTAGCGCTAGGAGCTGCGAAACTACCTTATAAACGCGACTCAATTTTAAAAACTAAACTTTCTGTGCTTTTGCATTATCGGGGGGGGGGGTTTAAATCTTTAATAGTGTTTTAGCGAATTTTAACTATAAATCAAACCAAAACGGTTTAAGAAGGCGAAATTTTGAAATTTTCGTCGAAAACCCTATTTTTTTTGTATCTTTAAAAACATTTGTAAAGTTTTTACGCTTGAGAATAGCAAAAAAAAACAGTTGAGAAGCACTTCCTCTATTGATATAGATATTAAAAAATCGGATCCTAACGAAAAAGGATCCCCCCAAAATGTGAAAGTACCCGTATTTTCAAAAAATCAAAGTATCCCTGCTAGCCTGCCCCTGCCCTCACCCCTCGACACAGCCATTCTTTGACCCCTCCTGCGTCACCAATGCTGATTCCATTGTTGTACCTAGCCAGGTTTACAAGACCGGAAATTCCTGAATTCCAGCGGACACCTATGGGCAGCCGTTCAATGGTTGGAGTGGAGGGAGAAGCCGCACTAGAAGCTTGCCCTCCTCTCCTTATACCACAAAATCCGATTTATTTCCTCCTGCTCCTACTCCGAGATTTATGCAAAGCAGTCGTTGTCGTGCCAAACCTGCTTCTTGGTCTTCGCATTTTTTGGGGCTTTTGGAGGCAAGATTTTAGGCCTTTGGCAATTTCCCAGGGAAAATTTTGTTGGTTTTTAAGATATTTAATGTATAATTCCTATTCAATGCAGAACGCTACGAAAAAGAACTGACCGGAAGCGATAAATTGATGTCGCAAGGGGATCGCAAAATTGTTGCGCGGTTGGACCAGGGAGATGAAGTCGATTTCCTGAAACTGGATTTTTAGAAAAGTAAAACCCCGAAAAGCAAGGGACACAGAAAGAGAGAGAGAGAGAGAGAGAGAGAGAGAGAGAGAGAGAGAGGGGGGGGGGGGGGGGGGGGGGAGCAAGAGAGTGAGAGAGAGGGAGAAAATTCAAGCAAATTTTGAAACAAATTGATGAATGGCTGGTCTGAGGAGTGTGTGATGGCAACACTTGGAGTCGATGAGAGACGTGGGGGTAGCATTGTGAATATTTCATTTGGTGCCTCCCCCTCCAGAGACAGGTGGAAGAAAAGAAAAGCGAATATGCAACAACCAATTAGCCAGAACGGGGGCCACTACCGCATCCCGGGAATAAATGCGGAGGGATTTACGTTTTTGTAAGGTATGGATCGTCGTTGAGCTACCCAAACTGACCCCCAAAAAACATAAAACTGATGTTTGCGCCGCTTAATTGGGCGGCGTTCGTTTTGGCGTTTATCCCGTTTTCAAAAAAATTAGATTTGTGCACAAATTCATGCAAACCTTCCTGGACCATTTTTAAAAAACCTCAAGCTGAGAGCAATTAGGGTACAATTTTTCTACGGTTTTTTTTTGCTAAATAAAACAATTCTAAGCTCATCCGTCTATTTTCAGATTGCAAAAAATCTCAGAAAACTTTAGATTTTGTATTTCGTTACTTTTCAACGAGTTTATTTTGCAACATTAAAAAGCTTTCTAAAAATCTCATCCTTTCCCCGCATTTTTAACACTCTCAAAATTTAGTTAGTTAAATCTTTAAACCTAAAATATTATATTTTCGAGAGTCTTTTACAAAATTGAGATGCATGCATATTTTTAAATCCTTTTGAATTTAATATATGTTCTTGCTACCGTTCTTATCGGCTTTTACAAAATTACGTAGCTGGAATTGAGATTTTTCCATAAATACAACCTCAAGGTAATCAAAAGCATCGAAAACCTTTCAAAGCCTGAAAAAAGAAGCAGACGGAAGCTGTTCGCGTCGTTCGAATCGAGTTTTCCCATCGGAGCCATCGGTGTGGAGAAGCCGTTGGGGAGAATGGCTGGCTCGAATTTCCACCCCACGGGTCCGAGAATCCCCAATTATGGGCCTCGCTTTGGAATGGCCCAGCGGGTGAATCTTTTAACGGCAAAAAGCGGAACCATGTAAACACAGCGAGCTAATGGATTCTGAGGATATGATAAATCTCTAATAAGAGATTGGGAACACACCGGCTAGCCAGGAGGAAAAGCCACGAATAACTCGAGAGAAGACTGCCAGCCTAGCAACCCCTTCTTTTGCTACGCTCGCATTTTATTTGACAAGGAAACGGCAACGACCCGCCAATTATCATGCTGGGGATGTGAAGGTATACTAGAGCCAGGTCGATAAGCTTCTAAAATCGTCAAATTCTTTCATTAGGATCCAATTTTACATATAAAAATCGAGGACGTTAATTGTTCCTACCATTCCCAAGCGTAAAAACTTTAGCAATTTTGATTTAAAACATACAAAAATATAGATTTTTCGACCAAAAATTGCCTTTTGTAACAAAACTTTCAAAATTTTTATATTTTGAGATATTTTCAGCCTGAAATATTGTTACATTTTACTAAAAACAGTATTAAAATACTTGCTTTTACTTTACTAGGCATTTGGGAAAAATAATCGATCCCCCCAGATAATGCAAAAGCACCCAAAAAAGGCGAGATCACCTAACAAAAAACGTAGCCCTTTAACTTTTTACGCATCGAATAGCGTAGTTAGTTCTACAACTTGAGTTATACAACTAATTAAATGCCAATTTGAGAGACTGCTTTACTAAAATCAAGTCTTCCTGAAAATGTACATAGTTCAAAGACGGAACCCGGATTTGTTGGTGTGGCGAGGTGTGGCGGGGTGAAGCCGGAAAATCTGTGGCTGGTTACCCGGGAGGTCGAGATTTGGCCCAGCTGTGCCGATGGGGCCCTTCGGAATAAACCGACCTAAGGCCTGACCGGTCGACAATTTGTAGCTCAATTTTGCTAGGCACTAAAGTGAAGCCAGGGGAAGCTGAAGAAGGCTATAAGGACCGCAAAACTACCTACATTGCTCTTTTACACTTTTCTGCGGTTTCAGAATTACGGATTCCCGTTTATCGGGGAGTTTATTTTAGCAAAAAGGCTTACTTTTTCTTTAGAGTTGTACACCGTTTTTCGTGATAAAGACATCATAATAAGTTCAAAATATTGCTCTTTTTTTAATAGGAATGTATGAAAAATAGTTTAAAATGAGTAAAAACTTCAAATTTTAGCAAAGTTCCATATATCGTTTATAATTTTTGTATATCGACAACTGCTCAAAACACTGTTAGATACGCTATGTCTTATCGTTAGGCATCATACGCTAAATGAAGCGGATCTGGCCACATGTCCTCTAAAACAACCGGTAAACGGGAAGCAAGAAAACCACTAATAGACCCAAAAATTTAAGCTTATTTAAATGCCCAAAAACCAATAGATGATGCTGTAATCAAGGAGAGGCGGACCAGACAGCTGGAATGTCGACAAGCAACTCGGTGGTGGTGGCGGTGTCGGGTGGAAAACACGGGTCAGCTGCCCTCTTCGTGCGCTGTCGCCGTCAAAAACCATCGCGTTTAGACATGGATTTTGATGATCGACCGTTTCCGGTGGAGACCTATTTGTGACAGGTGGGATGAATACCTAGGACGTGGGTTTTGTTAGAGTCGAGGCTTCTTCTTACACCAAAAAACCTGTCGAAAACAAGTTAAAAGGGTCCAAAGGTGGCAAGGTATTGGTTTATTAGAGGGGGTGTTTTTGTGGAGGATCTAACCTTGACCACACCATTTATGCAGCTTTTTTACGCCGTTTTGAGAATAAAAAAAAAGTTAGAAAGAAATAGTTTTGAGAATGAGATTATTAAAAACATCGAAAAAGATTTGCCTTTCAAAAAATGTCCACGACTTTTTATAATTGGAAAATACAAAAACACCAAAATAACACAATTCAGTTTTTTGAGGTAGTGATAGCCTAGATCACCTCCCCCGCTAACAGCCCAGTGCCAAAAAAACGCCGTAAGCAAGCAAAGTTGCTACTTTCGACGAGGACAAACTAAAAATTCGGTTAAATGTGGAAAAAATCAATACGAAAACCTTAAAAAATAAATAATTTGAAACAAGAATACGCGCTAGAAAGCGCTACAAAACTGGCCAACTCGAAATAGCGTAAAAGCTTGGCCCTCACCGGTCAGTAATGTAGATCTATGGGAAAGGTGGGCCATGGCTGACTGAGATGTCAGCTGACAACCACCCCCTCCGGCAAATTGCTCGATCGTATCATCCCCCTGGGGCCCTTCTCGGGGACAACACCTCTATTAAAGGGATCACCGCTGAAAAACGGCCATGTCCCCCGGGAGATCAAAAGCGCTGGTGATAAACCAGGAAAAAAATGGGCCGGCCTACCGGAATCGTCGTTTTCGGGGAACAACTGGCGCGCTGGGCTAAAAATGAACGGCTAGAAGTTGAGTGAATTTCAGGGATTGAGAAGGCTCTGAACTTCTTCCGCTATCTCGTGACTTGTCCCCGAAACTTTTCGATATCTGCACAATCTTTCCTGCTAAAACAAGAATCTCTATAGGGCCAAACCACTGCTCTCCCTGGAGTCGTGATCCGATAAAAGAAAACCGATTACAATTCGAAAAAGCTTGCCCCCCCCAGCGAAATCTAAGCCAATCAGCAAAATGGCCCTGAGCTAGGAAGGCAGGCTTTTGCAAGCGTTCTCCCCGAAGTGCAAGAGTCAACCAAAGTACGTTATTGTCGACATAACCCCAGAAAAAGCCAATAAAGATTTATTCAGAAAACAAGCGTAAAGCGGCGCGAGAAAAGACCCTTAATGTACATAACTCGCAGAAAGGACTGGATAAAAAGAAACAAGGACACGCGCACGAAAACATACTTGACGGTCACTTGACTTGCTTGGCGATCTTGGCGTAGTGGCCGGCGACGGCGAGCAGGTAAGAATTTTGCAGCGAACGCTCGAGGTCCGCCAGTTGTCCCACGGAAGCGGCCAGTGACGGGGCGTGGCTGCCGAATTGCACACCTACAGCAGATTTCAAAAATTTATCAGAAACCCACTTTGCGTGCGTTTAGCCCCGTAGATGACCTTGCCCTCAAACTCATCGGTCGGGATTTGGAAATCTGAGTCGACGTGGCCAATCGTAACACCGAGGTGTTCCTCGATTTCACCGAGCAGCTAAATGACAGATTGCTAAACAAAAGATTGTTACCTTCTGTTCGTTGTACCATATCGTACACCCTCGCTGGCTCACGTCCTTTGTGTTGAAGCAGCCACGGCCACGCGATTGGCACGTATGGTACCAGACTTTTTCTTGGTGAGTGGCGACGAACGAGATTGAGAGCCCCATCCTAAAATTTGGAACATCGTTCAACGAATAGCTAGCATATTAGCGTTAAATCTTCCGAAACATACCTGTCTGCCCTGCCGACACGACCGATCCGATGGACATACATCGATTTGTCGTCCGGTAATGTAATGTTCAAGACTAAAAAAATCACTAGCAAAAAATATTTGAAATACCGTAGGGCACATTTTTAACGTCAATACCGCGTGCCGACACATCAGTGCTGATCAGGAACGCGTCCTCGTTCTTGTCCAATCGTTCACGGAACGATTTCATAGCATCAGCCCGTTCATCAGCTGTCCGGTCACCGTGCAGGGCAATGGCCGTGTGCCCTTAAAATTTGTATTCATCATGCCAAAATTACCGTTCTTCCTCAAAAATTCCTCCATATGATCACATTGCTGTTTGGTGCGACAAAACACGATAGCCTGAAGAAAGATCGAAAATTTTTGAGATCCGCACCTGTTGAATGCCGAGCGCCTGGATGGCCCGCAGCACATAGCTTCCTTTCAGAATTTTTGTGCCGAGCGAAATGGTTTCTTTGTTCTCCGTACCAATCTTCAACTGATCGTTGTCGTGCACATGGTCGTGCTGATCAATCGATAGTTATATTGGGTTTATCCTTACCTCTAGCAAATCCTTGGAGTCTTTTTCATGCATCAGCCGAATCCATTGCTTATCGGACACAGCATCAACTGGGCAAACGACATGGTGGACATTTTCAGAAACGCTGTCCATGCCCTAATTAAAAATTCATTGCCCAGAAAACAATCAAACATTACCTTCAGGTCAATCCATTGTGGAAATCTCATATACCGATCGGAAAATTGGCTAATGTCATTGTTGTGTAGTGTCGCGGAGCATACAATCACCTGAAAGGTATTACTTTCGAAATTAAAATTACTTGAACTCTGTTGCCATATGTCGTCGCCACCGGAAGCTTAGCCATTAATCGATGGATAACATTTGCTGTTTGCTTATTCGCGAGTAGCGCATCCTAAATACCATAGGCACTCCGGAGAAAAAGGTACCGCTTCGTCGATGACCATAAATCGAAGTCCAGCAAAATTGAGCGTACCGTCCTCAACCAGATCCAGAATGCGACTTGCCGTGCCTAAAGCGATCGTAAAAATAACGTATCCATATAAGCCTACCTGTAATAATATCGGTTCCCTCTTCCAACATGTTCAAGACTTCGCGAATGGGCACACCAGACATCAATGTGCGACACCTATGACTTGAATACATAAACGCCATTTCAATACCTGATTGGCGGGTTTGACAACTTCGCGACAAAAATGCTGAGATTATCATGAGTCTGATTGACGAGTTCGCGCGTCGGCTCCAAAACGACGCATAGCGGCGTTTTCTGAAAGAAAAAAGATTTGACATATTAAAAGAAATTACCGCGATGTCCACATTAGATGCCAAAGCCTTCGTCAAAGGAGAATACCACGATTGAACTTCGGGCATCGATTTAGAGACGCCAACAAACCCTGGGGGCGGGTGGAAGCGCCATGGGGCATCGCCGAAATTTAGAGCTAGGCGCGAGCACTGCAGGGTGATCGTTGGGTGCAGAGCGGCGCTTGGATCACGGAAGGTATTCGGCAAGGAAAATGCGGTCGGAAATACTTTGCCATTCTTCGTCCACCTAAAACCTGGAATTGACAACGCAGGAGCCCTACCCTATTTTCAGCGCATCTAAATCCAGATAACAGCCGAGAACGTCGTTGTTCGTGAAGCTTTCTCCATAACTGTCAAACTTGCCCTTGTGGCTAATCTTTCCCGTGCCACCGAATCCGAAGCTCAGACTGTCGTGACCTAATTATGGGAACCTCACGTGTCGAAGCGGACAATACCGATATTCAGAGAGCTGCCGAGTGTGGCCCATCCTATTCGGCAAAGTCCATCGTGTTCGATAGTCGCCTCGTAGTAATATTTTCCTAAAGAGAATTAGCCTTAATTTCGCCGCGAATCCACCTTTGGTATGCACTCCTCCGCGGCATCGTACGCCGTGCCAGACTTTTGCTTCGCGAGTTTGACAATTCAACCCGGCATCATCGATCGCCACGCCATAATCTCTGTCCGCCATATTCATTTGCCATATTTTCGGTACTGAAATAATATATAGATCACCAAGATTGCCGCAAACAAACTGTCTTTGGTGTTGCCCTTCGGTTCCAGAAGTTCTTTTCGCTGTTCCCATACTACCTGCGCAACTGGGAGGCAAAACGCTCCAGTCTTGCCACTGCCTGTTTCTGCTGCCTAAACAGTCTGTACAACCGCAATGGCGCAATTACAATCAAGACGTCGCCGCCGCCCAAAATCGCTGGGATCGCTTCCGATTGGATGGGGGTAGGCAACCTGAAGAAGCCGCTCACCAACCAAACAGTACTCACTCCCAACCAACATCAAAGACTGCTTGGCTTAGCTCGTTGATTACACCCAATTCTTCAAATGCTGTCATCTGCATAGAAATCTTTCCGTATTGTGTGTTCGCGAGGGATCAGATATGCAACGTCATTTACTTGAAGAGGTATAGCGCAGAAACAATTGATTACACGAGAACAACAATTTATAAAAACAACGATTTAGGCTTTAACGGCGTACTTCCTGATCGGGAAAGCACGGAGCTTGTGTTGCTGCTTGGCGGACTTGAGGGAGAGCTCATGCTTGGTCAGGGCTCGTCGGAGGGCGCGGGTCTTCTTATGGCGCAGATCCAGGGGCTTGTACTTCTTGCCCTACAAAAAAAATTGATAAAGGCAACTAGAAATGTTACTCACGGCGTAAAGTTTCCTCAGCTCAGCCTTCTGCGTCTGGTTGCAGATGGTGTGGATACGGGCGATGTTTTTGCGAACAACACGGATTTTCGAAAGCTTCGAGGCGGCTCCTCCAGTCACCTTGGATACCTAAAAACGCGATTTGGAGAAAATATCGCGAAGCGTACCCTGAGGGAAGCGAGCTCGGTCTTCTGCTCCTCGAGCTGCTTCAGGAGCTCGTCCTTCTTCTTACCGCGGAGGTCCTTTGACTTTATTCTGGCCATCCCTGTAAAAAGAAAATATATTTATGGTGAATTTTAGCTTAGAACGCGGAGAAAAATGATAACTGCATAGGAGAATTAAGAAAATATGCAGACGTCTCGAAAGATACGTTTCATAGTTTATCGCACGAGCGAAAGGGTGTCGAACGGGTAAAACTGGAACGGATTAAATCTTGGGTGGCTTATCTGCCAAGAATAACATAATTGAGACAAAAATTGACAAGACTTCACCGGAATACTTGGAAATTTTAGAGAAAGGACGAAAAATGATTGCCGAAACAGCGGTATCGTGCAACGCGCGGAGCGGGTGCGTCGCGTGTATCGACGCGTAGCCAATGGATTTCAAAGTCGCGAGAAAACAACCAGCTTTTTTTCTGATCTTTTGTAAAGTAGTTGGCTTTATTTCTTCATGTTTCTACTGTTCTTTCTTTGATAATCATTTTGCAGACACGATGGGCGACAATCAGACCGAAGAGAGCGAACTTCCTCATGGCTGGGAGAAGCGGATGTCTACAAAGAACGGACAGGTCTACTACTTCAACAATTTCACCGGCCGAAGCCAATGGGAACGCCCGACACAAGCCGCCGGTTAGGAATTTTTATTGCTTTGCTGACCCTCCTTGAATCCTAGTTTTTAATCGAAAAAAGTTTAGGTGGAAAGGGCGCCAATCTTCAAGAGGTCCAATGCCTTCATCTTTTGGTGAAACACGCCGGTTCTCGTCGCCCATCCTCATGGCGTAGCGATAATATCACGCGCTCGAAGGAGGATGCCGTCAATATCTTGAAAAGTATGAGCTTTCTCGCAATATAACGTTTTTCCTAGAATACATCGGTGAACTCGACACGGCTGACAATAAGGAAGAGATTTTCCGGCGCTTGGCCGCCCAGTACAGCGACTGCTCTTCCGCCAAACGGGGAGGCGATCTCGGGGTTTGTAAATGGGCCCAAGCATTAATCCCGATTCAGATGTTCAAACGCCGACAAATGCAAAAGCCCTTTGAAGATGCAGCGTTTGCCCTGGATGTCAATGAGATGAGCGGCATCGTTGACACCGAGTCTGGTATGCACATAATTTATCGAATCGCTTAATTGTATTGTTTGTAACTTATTTCACATGATCTTCACGCTTAAATTCCCACATTTGTGCTGCGAAATTCAGAATAAAAGGAATTTATCTGCGACAACGCGAAAATAAGAATTCATTGGGGACCCGTGCTTTGGTTCTGGGCATAGCTACTTTGATTTGAGCGGGGATATGACACAATATTTTTGTTTGGGGGTTTATAGCGGCTCCCCTTCACATTCATCAATTTGTTCTACGCGTCGGTATGTACGTTTTGATGGGAGGCTCGCTTCTATCAACATCTCCCAAGTTCTAAAAAATGTAATTGGACTAATCAAAAGCTTACCTATGCGTGATGACGACCACTGCCGTGTAAATGAAAATTAGTACGAAGAGAAAGACCAAGGTCACGGTCCATGTAACTAACGTCTCCCGGCTCATACCTTCTACTAGCACAAAAAGCACTAGCGAAAAAACGACACCCGTGGTGCTAAAAAGTTTTTATTGACGCATAAATTTTCGCAGCCTTACCAAAATACGAAGGCGACGATTAGGAATAGGACGTCGAGCACGAGATGGGCCAGGAATAGCGATTTTGATGGGAAACAGACAGATACAAATGATGGTATACAGCAAATGCATTGAAGGAAACACCTGAAAGAATTTTAATAACTCTTTCTTCAGTTACCAAATGTCCAATAGCGTCCTAGCGATGCAGACGACCGAGTCAGCAAATGATTGGAGGTTATTCTAGAAAATGATTGGAGGAAATTGATATTTTTGTAGGGATTCTATATTGGATATTGGTGCCCTGTCTTACCCCGAATATTTCAGTGTTAGTTCCCGTCGTAACTTCATCGGCCTCACCGGGTAATTTAGCTGAGAATCGGTGGTTACCTTCTCGATCTAAAAAGACCTAGTAAGCCCGGGGTGACTAAAGCACCTTTGGACCGATCCATGCCGGGGAAGTACCTCTTTTGGCTGGTTGGCAGACGTCGGCAGTTCGCCGTATCTGGAAATTTTTTTATTTAGGTGTTTTCTAGGGTTTCTTGCGGCGAACCTGGTAAGTACTGTAGTCCGTCGTGGCTCATCAGTAACGCCGAGATGAAGGGCATCAAGGGTGACGACGGATTTTTCGGTCGTAGCCGATTTCATGGTTGCCTCAAAAAGGTTATTTTTTAGAGTACTAACCGTAGAAACACTTTGTTTTAGGCAGAAATTTTGGAATTTTGGAATTTTGGAAATTTTTGTTTTTGGAATAATAGAATTTTCTAGCATACCTGGATCCTCCTCTCATCTTCGACCTTCTTCTTCCAGAGGCTAAACGCATCTCCAGGATTTGCATCTTCTGAATTTCGAATTATTGACAAGAATCTTAAAATTTTAATAAATACCCTCGCTGTCATCAGAATCGCCTGTCAAGGGCGGCGTTGGGTCTGTTTTCAGGGCCGGTGGTTGTGGGGTTGTGGTGGGGGTTGTTGTTGTTTGAACCGTAGCTGTAGATGGCTCTTCAGTGGTCGTGCTACGGGGTGCACGGCTAGGAGTCGGTGATGGTGGATCATCTTCGGGTGGCTGAAATCGGCATAAATCAATCGTGAACTAAACCTTTCAATTTTTGTAATTAGGCCTACCAATGCGGTCGTCCCCATCAACTCATCAATCATCGTGAACACGTTGATCGGCCCAAAATCCAACGAGCTCTCCGTGGTGGCCGACATTTTGAAGGGCGACTCAAGGGTGTCGGTGTTCGCTCTAAGGTTCAGTGATACGGCTATATTGTCTATTTCAATTACTGTGTTGGTACCAATCCGCTCGAAAAGTGGGTGGTAAAGTTGTGCTCGTTCATGTCCCAGATCATGCGCGTCGAGTCGGAGATCTGAAATGGAAAATGTAGTTGATTTTTAGGGTTTTTGACTAACCTTTAGCTGTTGCTGTCCTTTTGGTGGCTTTTTATTTGCCGTTTTCATGGCATAACCACGGATATGTCCTGAAAAATTGTATTTATTATTATTCTAAATCAAAAAGTTCACAGGTGCTGGTTCATTAGCGGGGGTGGGGGTAAGGAAAGATAAAAATTTGACTAGGCTTGATATGGATATGAATTTTAGTGAAGTTTTTTTTGTGTTTTTGAAAAAATTGCTTTTTTGGTCGAAAATGAAAAAAATTAGCTTTTGAAATATTTTTTAGCTTTTTTATAATCGAAAAATATTCGAAAATGCCCCCCCCCCCCACCCCGTAACGAACCAGAACCGATTTTCATGAAACTAAAAAGTGCGCAGAAATGCAAAAACATAAAAACCTTTGTTGCTGAAGTGCGGGTCATGCGGATCGAGGGCACCCGTGAGGAATGGGGAATGATGAGGGGATGGGGTCGGATTTTTCGACGAAGCTCCAGAAGTAACCAAATGACGGGGCAGCTTCGTTGTTCGCCTTCTTCGTGCTAAAGAAAGGTGAAAGGTGCGTAAACTCAATCAACCTTTGGGAAAACGAACAAAAAAACAAAAATGTATGGAAGGGGATGGGGGAAATTTTCTGTCCCTGAAAAAATTTATTAAATTTAATATTTAAGAAAAATTTAAAAAGAAATTGAAAAATGAAAATTTGTATTTGGGGAAGGTGATTTTTAACCAAAATTAAATTTTAATAAGTGTTAAGAAAAAAAAAGAAACTTCTTATTAAAAAAAATATTAGTTCTCCCCAAAACCTTATCCTATAAAAAATGATTAGGATGTTGGGAAAAATTAAAAAATAAAGAAAAGATAGAAAAATGGAGAAGCTACCAGGTTCCTCAAGGTTAGATTCCCTTTTTGATGTTTTCCCTTTTTTCCTTTCTGCCTGAAAATGTGACTGGACCGTTATCGGGGGCTTGTAGCCAAAATTTCAGGTTTTATAATGCTTTTAATGTATTTAGTGTCATTACCTGCCCATAAAAACGTTTTTAGAAAATTTGAAAAATCTTAAATATTTACCAAAAACACATTTCGAAAATTTTATAATTTTATAAACTTTGAGGCAAAACTAAAAATTTGAGATCGTATCTCTAGGCCCCCGCTAACAGCAAATACCAAATTTCTACAAGGAAATCAAGGTGAAAGGTGCGTAAACTAAATAAAGTGCTAGTGAGTGAGATACAAACCAACACAAAAATGATTAGGTAGTGCTTTGTGAAAACTTAAACTAAAAATAAACGCAAATAATAATGGCAGAAAGGATGGCAAGATGGCTTACCAGGTTCCCCAACGGCTGTATGATTCCCGTGTTTTCGATGGTGTTTGCCCTTGTTTTTGCCTTTCTGGCCTGAAAATCGCGGTACTGGACTATTATCAGGGGGGTGGGCTTTATTCAAAATTTTCGTGGCGCTTATAATGTTTCTAGTCTTTTTAGTGGGTTACCTGCTCATAAAAACGTTTCTAGAACATTTGAAAAATCGTAATTTTTTGCCCAAAACCCACACATTCCGAAAAATCTTTGTAATTTTTTATGAACTTTGTGGGCGTAAAATTATGCATCTCGTATTATCGCTAACAGTACAATACCAAATTTCTACAAGAAAAGACCGCTCTTTCCCACCTTTGCCCTTCTTCTTCTTTTTATGCGTGGTGGCGACGGTGCTCTAAAATTTCATATTATATTTTTTTATTATTTCATTATATCTAGATGGTTTTTGAACCCATACCGTTGAATTCTGGCCATTTTCCTTGTCCTCCCCGGATTCGCGTGCCACGATTCTTGGCACTTTGGGAACGGGACCGCCAATCGGTGGCCGTAAGCTGAAAATAAGTAAATGAAGATTTAAATCAATAAAACACTTAAAAACCCACCGATCAATCTGATCATCATCCAAACTGACCACCTCGGTGCTGCCCCCTTCCTCATAAATCGGCATCTGCGGCTTGGGCTTCATTTTTGGGACGTCGTTCAAAGATACCGAATTTCCGGGCAACGCCTCGATACTAAACAAGGTAAGTTTTTGACGTTTTCGGCGGATTACCGGTTGCGGATTGTCTTTGTGCGTATCGTTTGTCCGCCGACGGATTGTAGCAGCTGGATGCCACTGGTTTGCTGGAAAGACAAAAATCGAAAATTCTTTCAAACACTCACAACGGGTTGCATCTGAACCGCAGTGGGGCGTTTCATCGAGCTGAGGCTAAAGCGCGGGTCAAGAATTGGGTCCTCTCTAAAACCAAGATAAGCTGCAATTTTCCGAAACTGACTCCTGCTGCCGTTTTGTCCGTAGCAGCTGTGCGTAGCGTCCATTATCAGCGGGTGCAGCTGTGAGTGCAGCATTCTCGCCCTGCCAATCACTATCATCCCACGTGAATGCACATCGATAGCCCGATTCGTAGTATTCTGAAATGAGTGCTTTCGCGTTATCGGGGGTGGGGGTCAATTTCTGCCCTAGGATTCTAATAGGATTCCAAGATAAATCAGGAAATGTTTCTAAAGTGTTTATTACAATTCCTGGACGTAAAAATTTAGAAATTTCTAGATAAAAAATACAAAACTATAGATTTTTTCGACCAAAATTTCAAATTTCGACTTGAAATATCGTTAAATTTTATTAAAAACACAACCACGTTGCGAGGTATTCCTGAACTTACAGAAAAAATTTGTCTTGTCCCCCAGGCGGAAGAACTGAAAACTGAAGAGAATAAAGCCAACCAACCTCTGACCAGCCAACCAGCTAGCACGGCAAATTTGAAGCTGAGGACGGCGGCCAGGAGAAGCCATGGCGCACAACCAAGGTACCGGGATTTGCTGAAAAAGAATTACTTAAAAATCGAATGGTACCTTTGATGTTTTCGACGGATAATTGAGCCGGCCCGGAGATCGATTCGCGATTCGCTGCCCGATTCGATTGTCGAGCCGATCATTGACGTCGTCCTAATGGATCTGATTTTGCGAATTTTTTGCTTGGAAAAATAGCGTAGTTCAGAAAATATGGTACTGGGCCATTAGCGTGGGGTGCGGGGTAAGCGGGGGTACCACCTTTCTATGCATAAAATATTATGAAAACTGACAATAAAATCTTGATTTTTGGCGAAAAATGTATGAAATATATCAAAAATTCAGTGATGATAATTTTTTAATCCGTATGGCTTTTTGGTTGTTAAAAACTATTACAAACATATAAAATGCACTATTAAAGCCATACTCGTTTCTAGGGAGGTAAATGCTGGCACTTTTCACCCCTCCCCCCTGTTAACGATTCAGTACCGAAAAATATCAGATTATTGCTTTTTACATGAAAATAGCGCTCTTTATCCCTGTCACTTTCCCTTTAAAAGCAACATTACCAATCTGGGCCCCAATAAGACAGAAAATCCCCAAAGCTGGGCCTCACACCAAAACCCTCCAAACCGGGGAGGGCCAATAAAAGTAGTGAGCCATAAAGAAGGATGTGCAAATAGTGGATGGAGGCAGGCAGAGACACCTGATAGGGGCCTGCTAGGGCCCACAGGGGCCCATCCCTCGACCCATAAGGGCCCACCACCCACCACAGCCGGATACACAAATGAGGAAAGCCGCTCAGGGGTGGGCACCAAGGAATGGATATTGCCCGCTCAACCAGAATTGCTGCAGAAGCGGCAACATTGAGGCGGTGAAAATCCTTAAATGGGGGAACTTGGTCGTTAGCGGGGGGGGGGGTAGTATGGAGGATGGATCTACATATTTCCTTTAGCTAACCCGTGGCTTGAGCCGTTCTTTCGCTTTATCGGAGGTCAACTTTTTTTCGGACCAAATTTTCAATTATAAATAATGGAAGTGTTTCTAAATGCCTTTTACTTTTCAAAAACGTAAAAACTTTACAAGTTTTTATAGAAAATAGTAAAAATATCTATTTTTCGACGAAAAATGCCCGATCTTTTCCCTAAAATTAGACTTTTAAAAACATTAAAAATGGTTAGATAGATAGTTTTAGTTGAAATATAGTTATATATCACTAAAAACACTATTAAAACAACACTTCCTATTATGTTACAAGGTTTAATAGCAGTTCTGTAAATGGGATGACAAGCTAGTTTTCGCAATTTACCATTTCTGATTACAAAAGAACTATGTCGAAATTTCTCAAACGCTAATAAAAATACAAAATATACCTAATTATCTGTCCTAAATATATGCACTTGGCATTTGTAATAATTAATTTTTATTTTTCCTTAATTTACGGTAGAAGCTAATCGGGAAGACGGAAGCTTGTTCCACAAAAGTTCCTTGTTTTAGCCATTGGCAAACACAAAACAACAGACCAGCGTTCGTTGCTCCCCCGGGCGGCTCGAGCTCCCGGCGGGGCATTCATTTTTGGCGGAGCCACTCTTTTTTGGGGAGGTCGAGGGGGGAAGTGGCCTCTAGGGGAATATAGAGGCCATGGATCTCCCGCAGCCCGCCCCACTTATTGTACTCATTTTCGCGCCGCTCCCAATTTATGGTAGCCGAAAATACCCGCTGAATTCCGGGTTAATTTATTCGGAGTGGGATTAGAAGGTTGAAATAGGTATTATTTAAAATCGGCATTATGACATAAACACGTTTTTAATTTAAAAATTAGCAGGTCGAAAAACCAACTTTTCCTTAATCTCGATTTTTCTTATATGAAAACTGCTCCTAAACTGTTTTTTTTTACAATTCCTGAACGTCAACCTTTACTACAAAGTTTTATTAAAAATCCAAAAATAATAATGATTTTACGACCAAAATGTCGACCAAGATTGTTGCGGAGGCGCCTTTGAGCGCCCGCGCCCTTTTCCCTTCGCTCCCCGGCCCCTCGCCTATCCAGTGCCCTTTCCACCGTAACGGGGTCTCTCTCCCCCCAGGGGCCCGCGATGGCATTTATTTCCCCAGTTCAGTTCTAATTTTTCCTCCTCCTCTTGCCGCCATGTCGCTCGTCGAATAAACAGTCTTTGGAACTGTTCGTCCCGCGCTGCCACACATCTACTCAAGACACAACAACTGGCGGGCAGGATCACGAACTCACGCAACAACAAGGAAACCCCCAAGCCAAGAAGCAGCCGCTCAAGCCGCCGCCCGGTCAAGGAAAAGTTGGTCAAGCAGATGGTGATCAAGCGCAAGGACAAGAAGCTCTACATGGCAAGAAGCGGCGTCATCCCGTGGAGGATTCGATTAAAAGGGAATGCTCGGATCGTGCGGCCATGCCCGTCGACAAGAAGGACCAAGTCGAAGCGCGCCGTCTTCGCCTCAAGTGCAACGAAGGAAGGAAGGATGTCGCCACCAAGGACGACAAGAAATGCAGAGAAGGTCGAGACGAAAGGGTCACAATGAGGCATCCGGCTGCCCCTCGCCCGCTCGAACTCCGTCAAGACCGGCCGCGAAACAACTTCAAAAAGAAGAACGGTTATGTCCTCACCCACAAAGGACTGGATACGCTTGCAAAGAGGTTAGGCTTGGAGATTGTCCCTCCCATATCCCCGGAGGATAAATCGGACAGGGTATGCCCCCACCCGCAGCATCCAAAACTTCGATGGATCCGCGCCAGAAAGGAATTCGGACCGCTGGACGATGGCCATCGATCGCACGAGGAGCCCCACCAGCCCCGGCGAACAAAAAGCGACAACATCAAGTCGACAAAGCCCGGATCGCCACCACCAAGAGCAGCCGGCCGATGGGTTCCACCTCTACGGAAGAGGTCCATCGCAAAGACCGAGTGTTTGCAACAGCTCGGCGGACGGAGCGCGCACAAGGAGCAGCCCGTCGACATGAAGCCCAACATCAAGCTCATCATTCTTGCAAAGAGGGAAGGAAGTCGTGCCCCAAGTCGCCGTCTTCCTTGGTCAAGCATCGCCGGACGTTCTGAAGGAAGGAAGGAAGGATGACTAAGCCCTACGCTCGCCAATTATTAAAGGAAAAAGCAAATAAGTATCCACTTATTTTACGTTGTGATTTGATCCCTCGTTGTGCTGTACGCAGTTGTACATTTCCTTTTGGTGTCTCCTCCTCCTATCCACATTTCTTTTCGTTGTACAGGGGGAGGTGTTGCGGAGGCGCCTTTGAGCGCCCGCGCCCTTTTCCCTTCGCTCCCCGGCCCCTCGCCTATCCAGTGCCCTTTCCACCGTAACGGGGTCTCTCTCCCCCCAGGGGCCCGCGATGGCATTTATTTCCCCAGTTCAGTTCTAATTTTTCCTCCTCCTCTTGCCGCCATGTCGCTCGTCGAATAAACAGTCTTTGGAACTGTTCGTCCCGCGCTGCCACACATCTACTCAAGACACAACAAAGATGTTTAAAAGTTTTTTTTAAGATAATTTTCCACCTGAAAGCTAAATTGTACTAAAAACACCATTAAAACACCTACGATTACGTTACTAGGAATTCCTGCACTTATAGGACACAAATTACGCCCTCTCCCCCCCGATAATGATAAAGATCTCAAGCCGAGTTGAGACGATACATCAATTAAAAAAACAGTAAAACCATTTTTTTGATAACAACAATCGTCTAAATGCCTCTAAATAATTTTAAAATGAAAATTGCTAGCTTGTCAAAAACCTAAATCCACCTGGAAGACAGATCGACGACAAAATACGCGGTGGCCTGCTTCTTCTTGTCTTCGGGCGTTTCCGGTTTGCACAATGGCGGGGTGAACGATTCGCGCATAATACAGTAGCCACAAATCGGATGGATGTATTCGCCGGGAATGGCCTTTCACTTTCCAAAGGGGGGAATTCACATCTTCTGCCGCTAAATTCCCCCGGATATCACTTTTCAGGGCATTCAGCTCAAAGTTCGGAGGATGGACCCGGAGAGAGTTTCGGATTGGTTACACCGCTCCTCAAGGTGAGATGACCCGACATCGGAAATCTCGTGAAGTCTGGCGCCTGGCAGACTTATTGGGGGAAAACTAGGTATTGGACTTTTAGCGGGAGAGTGGTGGTGCGGACCTTTAGAGGCACCTAACAGCCTAACAGCCCAGTACCGGAAACTAACGTAATTAAAGCGACGGACAAGCCAACACTTTGGCTTCTCTATGGATTTATACTGTATGTATTCTATATGGATTCTCTAGGCGGGGGCGCGTTGCGTTGCAGCGTTTGGCCAAATCTTTCGGGGGCGAAAATTAACAAAAATTCCTCCAGCCCGCCGGCCGGCGGCCATTCCCCAAAACGGCCCCCTACGAGCCGCCGTAATTATCTTCCGGAAACGGGCCCGGCCGGCCGCTTCGACCGCGGCCGCGGGGCCCCGCCGCCAACCGGAGTGGCTCATTTACATACCAAAAAATTTATTAATGGGAAATGGGGGGGGAGGGGAAATTAGGGTATTGATATAAATTCCATAGCCCATTACATCGCTGATTTGCTTACCGGAAGTGCTCAAAACTCATTTGATGCGGCCTTAAAGCCCGCGGCCGGCCGCCCCAAACAAAGCCGCGGCCCCGGAGGGGCCGGGCCGCGGGCCGGCCGCATTCTAATTTTGGGGGGGCGCGGCCCGGCCCCATCTGATTAAAACCAAAAACTGGCTAAAAATCTTGTAAAATCCAATATTTCAACCAAATATCGACGAACATATCTGCCCTCCAAATTTCGTCCCAATTTGGCAGGTGGCCAATTGTAAAGAGCCCCCCAATTTAGCCCTAAAAACCAATATATTTTCGGGTGGGGGGGGGGTGGTAATAAATGGATATACTGATGGATAGAGGGAGAGTAGAGAGATGGATGAGCAGCAAGTTCACAAATTAGCCTACTCAAACGCTCCGGGCGGGGCGGAGGGGGGGGGCTGAAGCGCGGCTACTGAAATATTGACAGCGCCGCCCTGAACGGCGTCCAACACTTGAAAATATGACGGTAGAATCCCTGAAGGTACGTTGGCATTATCGGGGGGGTCAGAGAGACGCAGAGTTTATCGGAGAAACCTAATTTTTTCCTGTAATTCCAGAAATCTCTGGCAATTTTTTCTATTAGGTGTTTTAATTGTTTTTAGTAGTTGTTGATTGCAAGATGCATATTTTTTTAATTTTGATAATTGAAAAACTTTTTTTTAGATCGAAAAACTGCGCAAAATGGCTTATATTTTGTTATAGAGTCGCACGGGATTCCTGGGAATAATAATTTCCCCGCTAACAGTGCGGTACCGTAAGAAAATACGGTAGTAAAAATTAACCGGTATCATTCAAGAACGTACGAAAATAAAAAAATTGGCGAACATCAGAAGAACCCAGGACAAAAAAAAGCGGAGCGACCCATTTACTTGCTAATCCCCCGGGCCACTAATAGGGCCAACGGGTTGTTGCACGAATGGACAGATGAACAGACAGACAGACGAACATACAGACAGAAAGAGGGTGGAAATAGATGTATCTCGGCCGAATGGCCACACACAATTGGCCCTCGCCCCCACCAGCAAAATCCCCGGGCGGTGGCCCGGTTGCACCCAAATGGCACACCAGAAGGGCGGCTAATGCATCGTCAATCGGCCCGTGAAAACTCGGCCAATTGCATAGGTAAGTAGCTAGTCAGCATGAGCATGAAATTTGAGCCCGACCTGCTCCAGAGGTCTTTCACTGGCGGCGCAACTTTAAAGAGATAGGGGGGGGGAAAAAAAAAAGAAAACGGGGGGAGGAAAAGATTTTTCCCCCCCCCCCGGGGGCGCCCCCCCCCGAGAGGGGGGGGGGCGGGGCGGGTAACCCCCCCCCCGGGGGGGGGGGGAAGCCGGCCCCCCCTTCTCCTTTAACTTCGACGAATAAGGGGTGATTTTTGGATGGTTTTTGAATTTTTCCATATAGCCATAGCTCCTTGATCGAGCTTAAAATTCTAAAAACTTTTTCTAACGATTCAGAAATGCCTACTAACGTAAAAGTAAGCACTTTAGCAGTGTTTTTTATAAAATTAACTATGTTTAAGTCGAAAAACAATAAAAAAAACTTTCGAAAACCTCTTTGGACGAAGAATTGGTCGAAAAATCTTTATTTTTGTATTTTTTAATCAAAAATTATCAATTTTTTACTTTTCGGGATCGTAAAAAGTTTCTAAAGTTTACTAAAAACCGGTTTCGAAACACTTCATTTATATTCAAGTAAAAAAGGTTCCTTGGTAAAAAAAGTTGGTCCCCCCGATAAGACGAAAGAACGCAATATTTTTTTATCAATAGCTAGCGTCGACAACGTAAGCCCTCACCGCGCGAGGATATGGCCCAACCAATAAAATAAAGAGCATTTCCCCAAGCCCCTTATCGCCATCGAATTAATGTAGTAGCACGGTGCGGCTTACATCTGGTACCATCAGGAAGCCTATACGGGGTGCTGGTGCTCGTTAAACAAAGTGACATGTCCGGACGATTGCCAAACGAGGTTATGCGCGTAGCCGCCACTCCCTCGCCTCCCCCAAGCCAACGACCACCCCAGGGGGCAGAAGAAGTGTAGCCGAAGCTAGCGTTGCAACAATACTCTGTTGTTTTTTTGTGCTAAGGATACTCTATCATTATCGTGTTTTTAGCAATTTCCGATGGCCAAAAGATCACAAAAGTCGAAAAATTGTATTTTTTAAAGTGTTTGACCACCTTTGATAAATTTTTTCGGAAAAAAATTTTCTGAATTTTTAGTTTTTTTTAGCCAGCTTTTTATATCTAAAACAGGTGTAAAGTTACGGAATCTACGGACGAACGAACGTAAATACGTACGGTAACATTGGCAAAAGATACCCCCGCTAACGAATCAGTACCCTTAATAATTGATTCCCCAAAAAATTTACTCGAAAGCCGATTAAGGAAAAAAACAATGAAGGGGTGAGCAAATTGAAGCTAGCGTCGGAATTTGTGGTGCTTCGATGCCAGTCTTGGCCTGGGGGCACACGCCGATCACTAATTGAGCTAGTTCCTCTCTTTTCCTGCACCCATGCCAAAAATCCCCGGGGGGCTCCCCAGCAAATTAAAGTTGTAGTGGGGGGCCAAGGATGTCCTGCCACTCGCTTTATATTACGGAAAAAGCGCAGGGTGACATAAGAGATTCGCAACAGCAATGAGACAATATTGGAAAGGCTAACATCACAAAGAAACCCGTGTCATGGGGGAATTAAGTGCTTTGGTGTCATAAAATATTCAGTTCATAATAAATATGGTCTTTTCGTTGATCGTCTCGGGGACGGTGGCCGTCACCTGCAGCCGGAAATGCGCCATGATGATGTCGGTGAGGAGAAAGACCTGGGTTGCATAGAGACATCGTTATTGTAGCGTTACCTGAGCCAAGTTGTAGATCAGAGTGACCGCGAAATAGAAGTTGGCATTTCCGGAACCGGAGACGGCCCAGAGATGCCACATGACTGGCATCAAGGCCACACAGGTGACTACGGTAGCTCCGATAGCAAGGGCTTGCCGCATCACTAAAATTATCAAATTGATTTTTAGCATACCAAATGACAATGGAAAGCAAAACAGTTCCTTCCCTTATTGAAAAATATCGTTATTTCCGATTGACGCTAATTTACTCACAGGGGAACAGATGGTGCAATAACGGGAGTAGGGCCATATAAACAGCTGCATCACCCAGTGTCGGATAGGGCGCGAAGACTGCCAGCAGAAGCAGCGACAGAATTAGATGCAATTTCGGCGCAGAACTAAACGATAGATATGAGCTAACACGCCTATTAATTGCCTACCGTAGAGATAGTGTCAACGGCAGCACGTACAGCATAGTATTCGCTTGGAAGACGTAGATATAAAACTGCCGGAAATGGTCGAAAACCTGGAACCCACTTCTGTCTTTGCTGCTAAATTAATTAAATACCTGGGTAAAGAAATACCAATACCATCCGCAGTTGGGTCGCAAGTCGTCGTAACGAAGCCTGAATTTGTGTGAATAACCTCGTCCAAAAACTAACATGTGCCCATAAACGTCTTCCAAAAATGCCCAGTTATAGCCCGCCATCACGTAATTCAAGAGGGTGATTCCGGCCAATCCTATCAACAGGGCTACGGTAGCTTTCACGCGTTCCATAGCTCCGGGAAACCGCAGCCACACGGAAGCGAACAGTGTGATCGGATACAGTTGCAAACTAATCGTAGCCGTCAGAATCAATGTAGCGAATATCGGGCAACCTAAAATGCAAAAAGGATTAAAACCTCCGTAACAGACTTGCCTGCGCTAAACACATACACAAAAGCGGCCAGGAAAAAGTTATGGAACGTAGTCATGCCTAGGGTAGCGCATGAGCCGATGGCTAGCGGATTCAATAGGTAACTGAAAAGGGAAATAAAATAAATAAATATCCATAATTACGCACCATTTCAGAACAGCGGTCGCCGTATTGGAGTCTTCACCGAAATACCGAGCCGATGTGGCCAATAATAGGGCGCTTGTGATATCAACAGCCACACTGAGGGTGACAATCAACAGTGGCGAGAAGATGTCGACAATTCTGTTGAAGAAAAAGAGCACAATTGGCGTCTAAAATTGATTTTTTTGCTTATAAATGTTTTGTACCGTGTGAAAGAAGTCGCCTTCATAGGGAGAAATGCCATCTCGCAACAGGGCGACTCCATCCCTAAAAGAAATTTTACAATACACAAAAAACCCCCTCGGCATTGGCGGTCTTCTTTCCCACGGGGACCAAATTTTACCAGCGCTGGGGACCGATAAAATAACGCCGAATTTTCTAAGCAAAAAACAAAAAAAAAAAAGTTATCGCTAAAAACCTGATTTTGGGGAACCCTTGTACCGATTTTCCGCTATGTTTTCCAATTAGCATGCCGATTTTGAGTAATTTTTCTCGTCTTTTCTGTTCGTTCTAAGAAAATAATTTGACGTAATTTTTCCTAAAAAAATTCCTCCGGGTGGAAAAAGTGCCCTCTTCATTTTTGCTAAACATTTCAGCCCCAATCCATCAAAATCTTAGTGAAATCGGCAAAATAAACCTTAATTTCAATATAACTTTTTTACATTATTTGAGTAGAAAATTGGAAGGAAGGGGGGTTTTTTTGGGACCCCGGGTATACTCCGCCTTGTTACAAAACAGTATTTTCAAACAATCATGCTCATACCTTATCCGTAAGTACGAAGTTGCAGACGTAGTCCATTCTGGCCCTGACCGTAGCCAGTCGCCAAGTAGTAACGCTGCAGCAAGCCGACAAACCATGCCGGCAAAAATCCATCTACATATCAGTGTTTAAAAAGCGACTGAACAATACCCAAGGTTGTCACGCACAAAGTTGACGCAGCATTCGGTCGGAATTTCTACATCTTCCTTTTCCGGAGTTGGCTTTCCACCCGGCTCTGCTACCAAGGCTTCTTTTTCTTTCTCTTTCCCCTTCTGCTTCCTCTGCATCACCTGAACGAAGCTTGAGACTAGACTCAGAACGGCAAAGGCCAATGGATCAAAATGTAATCACGTCGGTAATCGTACACGAATGTTGGCCATAGTCTCTTAAAAGACACGCATTTATTCACCGAGATCATTTTGACAACGTAAGATTAAGGAACCGAGATGGAAAACACAATGACAACAGGTTTAATAGTCTACATAGATTCTTCTATAGATCACTCGGCTTCATCGTTAGGCGGTTCCTCATCATATCGAGGGCGTTTGGCTTCTTCATCGCCCTCCTCACGGCGTCGTGCCCGCTTTTCAGCAAAGAAGCGGGCGACCATCTCGCCTGTTACCACCTGAGAAATATGAGTGGTTTTGGTACAATTTAAATACCTCCCCTCCATTTTCGTTGACCGTTGAGAAGAATTCGCGAAGGTGCTCTTTGAGCTCGCCGTAGGCTTGGAGGGCCATGACCGAGGATTCTCTGTCGAGGTTGTGACGATTTGCTATCTAAATCAGCCATATTGCAATGCGATTCGATCCAAGAAAACTTACCTCGAGGATGATCTCTTCACCAGAGCGAGCTTCTTTTGCTCTCTCTTCCTCAACCCCAATTTCATTCTCGTACGTAGAGAGCAGATCGTCCGGATTCGTCAAAAATTCAACCTCGTCATTCTCCAAAATCCTCTAGACAAGATGATGATAAATCAAGCGGGAAGAAAGTACCTGGCAAGCATCGCAAGTACAGAGATCCTTACGCCAATCCTCGGAAGGGCCAATGAGGACGGCAGTGATCTGCTCCGAAGCAGGCGCAGCGCCGGACTGGATGTACTTCTGGATGCAGAATTTACCATCTAAAGTCCTGTTTCGGAACGCAAACACGCAGGCTACCTCTCTTGCTCACTCCAGCAAACCAGGGATGTTTAGTAACACAGGAGCGGCAGATCAGGTCAGCGCCGTCATCCTCGGCAATTCCTTGGAGGCCGGTGTGCTAAACACTCGGGTACAGAAAATGTCATATGGTTCTCACCGCATAATGAAACCAGTTCTCGCAAAGGACGCACATCGCCATGGCATCATCCTTCTTCAACGGATCCCATACACAACCATTGCAGTAGATGGCCTTGAAGCTCGGATCATAGACGTTTCGCGAATTTTCCGCTGGTTTGTCCTAAAAGACATAGATGGAGAGTAATTGGCATTTACCTCGACAAATCCGCATTTGATGTCAGGGGTCCGCGAGTTGCCACAATCGCATCGAAAGTTACGCCGAGTATGCATGGGGTGGAGATCATGACCATCGTGACAATTGGTTGCGCAACCGACACAAATGGCTAATTAAATACTTTGTGCACGCGAATGTCACATTACCTGAATATCTATCATCCTTCAGACAAGTCCAGCAGGAGAACAGTGCCTGACGCGGTTTGTAGCCCTCGTCATAAGTGCAAATCCGCACGCTCTTTTCAGTCATGTATTCGTCGCCGTCGATAGAGCATCCGAGTTCCTCGAGTGCCTAAAGAAATTTTTAAAAAAAGCCAAAATTCTCACCTGATCAAATGTGACGCCCTGGTCCAGAATGTCGCCCTCAGCGGGCTTTGTCACGTCGGAGCCGGGCTGGACGTTCTCTTGCTCTTCGGGGCGCTGCTGCTCGTTGGGCTCTCCATCAGACGATTTTCCAGGGCCCTGTAAGTTGGTGGTTATATTGAAATATTCAGAAACGGGAAAGCTATTTTTGCGATGCGATTCTGGACCCACTAAACAAACTCCAGCCCTGCACTAGCTTGCAATTCTGAACAATTCCTCTCTTTCACAAAACTGCTGAGCGAAGCGGAAATGCCTATTTTCCCCACATCTTTTGCACTTTGAGAATCTTTTTCTCCAAAGACCGTTGTTGCTCAGCAGTATTTGGAAGATGTATTTGTTGAGAATTTCAAGCTCTCAAATGAGCTATGTTACATCGAAAAACTACAATAGTATACTACCTATAGCTATTTCACAACCAATTCCTAATTAGAAAATCCACAAGAAATGTACCTCGGGGTCCATTTTGAGATGAATTTCCTCGTCTAGAAATTGGCTGTTTCTCTTTGTTGACAATTCGAGTCAGGTGGCTGGCTGTAAGTTGAATTGGCGCGGAATTCCACGAGGCGCCAATAGACAGGCGAGAGACGGGGCCCCCGGCCGACCCGTCTCTGCCAGCGATCACCCCCAAAAGATCTACATGCTAAATTGGCACGAATTCGTGCGTCATGCCCTTGCTACAACCTAGGTTCTCCCTCATACAGCCTCGTTGTAAAGCACGCCCATCTCCAGCAGCTTCAAAGCGACATCTGACTTGCTAATCCGCATCCTTTATCATCCACTACGATCAGCCGGACCGTAAAACTACAAAAAGAGTTTTGGACCCTCTTCAATCGGACATTTCTTCGAGTTTTTTTTCCAATACTGACAAACCGAGCCCCCTTTTTCACAATTTCCGCAATGCCATCGCCCCCCACTAATTGACTAATCAGGGCGTCGCTAGGGAACCAGCCAATGCGATGTAGTTCCCCCAAAAATGCTCGCAAAACTACTCGATATGACTTGGCTTCGTCATAGAATTTTACGATCAACTGGATTATATTTCGGCTTGCCTTCAGTTTCCTTTCGGTATCATGTTTAATTCGAGAAATCTGAATACCTCGTATTTTTTTCTTCCTTTTTTTGGCGGCAATGGGCCCTACTAGCTGGGTGTTCAGGGCAGCTATTCGGGGAAATCTATGGATTAAGGCTTTTTCGTTATCGGGACTGGCTCTCCGCGAATAATCGGGCCGGTTTTGTTTCTTTGGAATTGAAACCGCCGTGGTAGGCAGGCTCATAATTTCGAGCGCAATATGATCATATTTGCATTCCCATAACGCTTGAATACCTTTCATCGAAGTCTAGTCTTTTTACCAACATCATTTCTTTCCGCCATGAAAAAATCGCACGGTTCAGGCCGCAAGCCTCCCTCATCTCCGTAATTTTTTCATTGCTGGTTGCAATCAACTTTTTTAGGCGAAAAATGGCTGAGCCAAAAGTGGCGCTACAAATCTCCCCTCCGCAAGAGCTTGTGTTCCAGGGTACGCAGCTTACCGCGTTTTTTTTTGTATGACGGACATTTTTAGGTCCTTTTACCGATGTCGTTACTTCGCCGCTGCGGCTGATGAATCGTGGCACCCAGCCGATTTGTTTCAAGGTGAAGACCACCGCCCCAAAGCAGTATTGCGTTCGGCCCAACTCTGGAATCGTAGCACCAGGTATCTCTAGTACCCTTTTCGGTGAACATCTTTCGTTTAGGCCACACTTTCGAAGTTTCTGTGATGCTTCAGCCTACCGGAAATGAAGCCAGCGTTGAAGCAAGCCGGCATAAATTCATGGTGCAGTATTGCTACGCTCCGCACGAAAATGTGGATTTGGAGGGTCTTTGGAAGGTAACAAAGTTTTATCCGTATTGATGATACGTTTTAGACCATCAACCCGGCCGATCTGTCCTATTCGAAGCTGCGCGTCGTGTTTGCGGGTCTCTCTAATGCCAATACCGTATGTAACCTTTATTGTATCACAGTTGCTTTCTTAGACTCTGGGCACTCAGGAAGAGACTCCGGCGTCGATCAAATACATTCAGAATTCTACGACTAAATCAGTTCATCATGTAGGTATTTTTAGCAAATTTTGCCATTCTCGCTTATTCGATGAAATTCGCTGGTTTAGACCCCACCGGGCATCCAGACGTCCAGCCACGTGACCAATCTTCGTTCTGGCAACGATGACGAATTCGCACGCATGCAACAGAAGGCACAGAAAGCCGAGAATGAGCTTACGGCCGTCAGGAAGGATTTGGATGACATCATGAAGGTGGGAAATCTCGTTATGACTTCATTGTTTTATAGAAATACACGAAGCTGCAACACGACCGACTGCACGGACAAGCCGAGGTCGGCTTCCCCACTCTGCAGGTTTGGCCTTTCTTGCGACTTTACAACTCTTCAGGCCATCCTTATTACCGTCGCCGGACTCCTCATCGGTCTGATCCTCGGCAAACTCATGTAGAACCCGAACTCCACATCACTTGCCCATTCCGAACCTATTTCAGTGTATTGGACGAATCTCGTTGCTGATAACATATAGTGGTCAGCACAGGGATTCTAAAGGACATGTACAAGTAGAATGATGAGGAGTTACTAAACTCTGGCTGTTCGTGTCGAGTCTCATTCTATCTGCGCGTGTCCTTTAAATCGTTCGTGAAATTTGCCCAAAATTCTAGTTTCCCCGGTTTTTCGACTATGTACTTCATAAACTTTGAATTAATATTAAGCTACCCCATTCCTCGGACGTTTATCTGTTCTGGTTTTTAATTATTCGACTTCGCTGTCTCTGGCAGTAATGCCATGCAATTCGATAAACGTTTCTATCAGTCTGAAGATCACATGTATCGGAGTGCTTGATCGCGTCCTACGCTCGACATACCTAAATGGTTGTATAATCATGTCAGCGCTTGACATTGGTTTTGCTAATTGTAGACATTTGTAGTGCCTGTACATGCGGCGGGAAAAGACTCAATGTTGTGGGAGGAAATGGTGCGTCGGTGATGCATGTGGGATAATCTGCGCCGGTATAACCTGGTAAGATGCATCGGAAAATTGCGAACCTTCCATTGAGGTCTCTGGTGCTCTACGGAGAAATATGTGTGATCTGCGTAATGATGCCCTCTTGGGAGCTGCACCCTATTCATCAAACATTCCACTTCGCGCTCTTCAACTTTTTCGTCATAATGTCGCTGGCTAGCCATTTAAAGGTAAAAGGCCTTTGTGGTTTGTATTTTGGCTCTAGACAATGTTGACGGACCCCGGTGCTGTCCCAAAAGGCAACGCCACCTCCGAATACATTGAGCGACTGCACTTGGTCGAGGAGAACAAGGTGGGCATTTAACAATATTTTTACCCGTTGCCTTAGGTGGTTTTCAAATGCCAAAAGTGTTGCTCCATCAAGCCCGAGAGGGCTCACCACTGCTCCGTTTGCGAAAGGTATATCAGATCGTACGAAATTTTATTTCTAGATGTATTCGCCGCATGGACCATCACTGCCCTTGGGTGAACAATTGTGTGGGGGAGGGCAATCAAAAATACTTTGTCCTTTTTACGGTTGGTACACTGGAGATGTTGCAACCTTCTTTAGTTCTACATCGCCTGCCTCTCGGTTCATGCGTTATACTGGGGCATCTGGCAATTCATCGAATGCGTGAGCGCCGAATGGGCCACTTGCCCCAGGTTATCCCCTCCAGCTACGACTTTATTACTGGTAATTATTCACTAAAAGCCGCATAATTTGATTTAGATTTTTCTGCTGTTCGAGGGCGTGCTGTTCGCTATTTTCACCAGCGTCATGTTTGGCACTCAAATATCTTCGATCTGCCAAGACGAAACGGCAATCGAAAGCCTAAAGCGAGGAGAAAGTGACAAAACTCGAAACTCTTCTTGGAAGAACTTGCAGGTCGGGGTTTATTTTCCCTCTGATCTTTCTTTCAGATTGTTTTTGGCGGTCCCTTTTCTTGGAGGTGGCTTTCTCCGATGGTAGAACCCTACATTACGCGACCCGCCTTTGAGTATTCCGTCTAAACGTACGTGTGCTAACTTGTATCTTTTAAGCATTTTGCTGTGATAATTTTGGCTTTCTGGTCATCTCGGTATATTTTCACCAAGCATTTAGCGACCTGTCCTGTGAAACCGCGGCATTAACGTCACTATTTTTGCAAGAATGGCTATGCCTTTACTTTATCTCGACCTTTCTTCTTTTTCGATTTACCATATCTATACGGGTATTTTATTTGCACAAACACTTGTTACTATCAAACTAATTGTCGAATTTGACGTTTCTACATACCATGTAATATACTACTTATCCCTTGAAGGTCTCGTAATAAATTATTTTTGTCACATTACGCATCTAAATAAGGACATTGTTACGCGCAAGGTATTTACCGCGATTTCGTAGATCAAGCTAACTGAAACACTAACAGATGTCGCTACGATCACTTCTACGTCGCGTGACGGCTATTTCCGGGTCGGCTGGCTCGTGGGGGTACTGTCCTCCTGGCAAACCATTTTACGCAAATTTAGAAATTCGGCATCAATTCATACTTCGGCATTGACTTATAAAGCCAAACAGAAAGTTGAGAAGAAGGACAAGGTACTTACGCGCACGCGATTGATATCCCAGAGCTTCAGGGTCTTGGCTTGTCGCTGCATCACTCGAGTCAAGCAGCAAGCGAAAATGAATTTGTTGCGGGAGCCCTGAAAGCAATGAGTGCCTGTGAATCGCAGCTTGCCGACGAGCTTGTGAAACGTTTTTCCAGCAAGGTAAACTCATTGGAAAGGTAACGACGTACAGGTTTTAGGTCGACACGAGAGTTTTTGAAGAAGTCTCGGTGCCCCTAGACGATGGGAAAGAAGTACGTCTCGGTCATATCGGACGGGTATCGCTCAAAGGTCCGCGCATGGTAGTCATCAACCTCTCTGACTCGTCACCACACATCAAGGCGGCCAAGCTTGCGCTCCAGGTTTGCTTCTTGTGGTGTTCGCTAACATTTGTTTTAGAAGGCAGGGTCTATTGCATCAAATGTGCAACAGGAAGGCGTATTTCTATACATCCAGGCAAGTCGTCATGACTTGCAACAACCAGTCTTCAGGTTCCCGTTATGAGTAGACAACGGCGCGAAGAGCTCGCCAAAGATGCGCAAAAGATTCTCTTCAACGAATACAAGGATGCGCTCAATAAAGTAAGCTTAACCTTGCTCAATCTTGAAGAAAAACGTATCTAGATTTACAAAGATTACGACAAGAAAGCCACGACAAAGGCTAAAACAGACGATGATAAGAAGACCTCCAGGAATCAGCTACTTGAGTTGAAACGGGCTATGGAACAAAAGGGACTCAATTTGGTTGAGGCTAAAAAGAAGGAGCTGCTCACTGAAGTTTTGTGATTTTTTTAGTTTTTATTCGTCAGATAAAATATTTACGGAAAGCAACAGTTGACCCAAGAACGAACAAACGAGCAGGAGGGTGGGTGTATGGTGAAGCAGGCCAGGGGCACTGCACGCCATAGATCACAGACGATGATGTGGGGGAGAAGGATAAAGCCATGTTGGAACGTCATGATTAGAATAAAAGAAGAGCGCGACCTGACAAAGGGTACTTGACTAGATCCCGAATAAAGCCTAGACAATGACGAGGGGTACACGTGAATGATTGGCGTAACTGCAACGGGGGATCTACTTCAGTGGGGTAAATTTTGGGCAATGAAATTCTCAGAGATCTACAATTCATGTTTTTCGAGGATTGAGTAGCGGTTATGCGACGGCTTCAACTTCTCAAAGGCACTTGATGGCGGCTGCGTCTGTTCGGGGGAGGCCCTGGAAATTATTTTGTGAGAATCCGTTTTTAATCGACGGGTGAGACGCTTCGTCAAATTATGATAAAGAACTGACATTTGCCTGATCCGGACCATGGTGGAACTCCCTATGCAATTTTCCGCTGTGGAGATCCATCACAAATTGTCGTAGTTTTCCAGCGGTACTAAAAGACTCGATTGAAGGTTGTCAAACATGACCTACTGTATGTCCTGGAAATCGCCGAACAAATACATGTGCCTGAACGAGTCGATGGCGATGACCGGCAGATCTTTCTCGGCTTTTCCGAGGTGATGTAGTGGGTGGGCGAATCTCTTGCCATCGGCAACCAGGCAATTGATCGAGGCTACAATATCATTCATGTAAAATCTCGTGAGGGTTTACCTTTTTGGTCCGGAATTTCCCGGATGACAGCGTCCTTGTAGAGTTGTTCGCTGTGCTTGTCATCGGGGTGCTAAAACGTAGACGATACAGTTTAATCAAATCCATACAGGCAACAAAAATCATAGTTATCAAATTACCAACCCGGAAAAGGATAAGGAAAGGCAGATTCTCTTCCGTAAGCTCCTCAGCATTTTCAAAAGTGATCTCCCGGACCAATGGAACACATCTCTCTGCCAGCCACTTTCTGGAAATATTTTGTCTAAACCGAGGTGAAGCACTCACTTCAACTGATCGAAATCTCCCAGCCCACCCTCGTAGACTTGCGGAGCTTGATCCTGAAAAACCAAATGCACGGTTTTCAAAAATTCATACCTCGGGACCCTGGAAGGTGATCTTTGAGCCGTGCTGGAGATCGGCTTGGAAAAGGGCGCCCGTGGCTTGATGGAAGATGCAATCCTCACGGAGGACAGAAGCAGCCTAAAAGGGACAGTCGTTCTCACCAAAATAATCTTCTCCTTACCATGCTGAAAGTCTCGAATTCGACTCCTCCAGTCTGGGGGAAGAAGCCAACGACGTTGCGCTTGCCGGCCTAAAAATTTATTTTGAGAACCCCGAAATCTTTGTTTTTCCACACGCTCATAAAAATAAAAACACCGTCTTACCTGCAATTTGGTATTCAACTCTTCCGCAGAGCTGAGCACGACGATACCGGTGTCAAACTGCTTCTGGATGAACGCTGTCAGGGCTTCGACACTACGTTGTCCGCTAAAAAAAGATTAATCAGTTTTTTTATAAAACTCCATACATCAATCATCAAAAAAAATTGGAAATTTACCGAAACTCCTTCTTGACCAGCTCGCCCTTACGGAAGAGTTTGAGAGTCGGGTACTTATTGACGCTGAAGCGGGTGGCGATTTCCGCTAAATTTTCGGTAAAGAAATGACTGATGGCTTACATTGTTGGTCTGCATCCACCGATGCCCAAACAACCTTGCCGGCGGGGTAGTCCTAAAAGTAATATTACCCAAAAGCCGCGACCAAAATCTTCACCTTGAATTTCTCGGCGGCCTCATTGTAAATCGGCTTCAACATTTGCGAAAACCGACACCATTCGGCATAGAAATTCACAAACACGACGTCGTTCGACTCTGAACAGAATTTGAGCCACCAACGCTACGACCCACTAAGCACTGTATCAACGTTTGCGCTGTCGAGTGAGACGACATTTGCGTAGATGGAAGAACATAGGCTCTAAACAGTTTATTAGTTGAAGAAATTTTCGAAAGGGACCCACCAGGAGCAAGCCGAGCCGTAGAAACATCGTAACAACGCGTGGTCCAACCCTATAATGTTTCATTAATTAAAAGAAGCATTATTGATCCAAAAATATTCAATGGGAAAAAACTTTTTGTTTTGTTTGTTGTAATAAATTTAACTGTACACGTTGCTTTGTATCGGGAATGAAGGCGATACAATTCTATGAATGCTTGATACCCCAGTGTCGATAGTATCATCTCGTAGGGTGTCCTCGTCGCGCGGATACTGCTTTTTGAAACCTTTTTCGAAATTTTCTCACTTTTCTTTTCTAATTCTTATTTATTAAATCAAGCTTTTTTTTAGTCTTCGCGCAGAACTGCCACAACAATATCGATAATGGATGCCGCCACCGCCCCAGGAGGCGCCGCTGCAGGTAAACCTTGCTCTTCAAATCCCTATAAACTTCCCTTAAGGTGCCCCGCGCAGTAACAGCATGATCTACATTTGTGGACATTGCCACGCCGAAAACGAAATTCGCCCAAAGGACGCCATCCGTTGCCGAAGTTGCGGATACCGGATTTTGTACAAAAAGCGCTGCAGGTGGGATCGTGCAAATTTCGGAATTACCCTCCCTTTTTCAGGATGCTCATGGTCTACGATGCTCGATGAAAGACCCAGAAATATTTTTTGCCCCTTTTCCATTTTGTCTTCGTTGTTATTCAATCTTGTTGTCGTTTTCTGATTTGTTGTAAACGTTGCGCGAATTATCAGATGATAAACCTCATTTTCAGGTATGGATGAGCCTACGCTCGACCATCGCCACGTTCAGGTCTCATTCTTCACGAATGATGATCGGTAAAAGGTTCTATCAGATTGCTTATTTTTCCTGTTTAGGGTGGCCACAATCCCGGAAGCCGTCTTCGATGTCCCCCTCTCCGCGACGCAAGCAAATCTGAATGCATTGGTTAATGAAAGTATTTCACAAACAACTGGTACGCCGAAGAGCTTTATTTTATCCCGAGTTTTTCAGATGAATGGAAAGAGCTGAACTTTGAACTGCTGATTGGAGAGACGTTTCTTCGATCTTCCCTGGCGGAGTTCATTGAAGAATATACCGTTGATACAGTGGGTTTTCTAGCACCTCTATTGTAGCTCTGTTTAGGAACGCGTTATCCGGATAGAGTGCATTCTTGGCATTGATCCGCCAAAACCTCTTCACGATTTGCCGACCCCGGATTGGGTGGGAAGCGTTCATGCCCTGGAAAAGCTGTGAGTTTTTGCTTTGAAACTTTCCTTAGGCTTCCCCACAACAGCTGATACGCGTTATCTTTGCCTTTTTTACTTGGTTAAATCCAATCGACCTAAACCCATTTTTTTCTAGGCTGGTAGCTACTACTTTCCATGGTGATATCATCCTTTGGAATACTGCTGGAAAAAAACTTGGCGAGGTTTGTTTTATCGAAAGCAAATTATTTTTGTGCTTTTGGGCCTTGAAAATAAATCGAGTCACTACAATCCTAGATCCCTTTTTTAGTTCCCAAAAGGCAAGGGCGAGGCGTACAAATGCTCCGAGATTTTGAAGGAGCCGACAGGTAATGCTAATTTTGTTTCTATGAATTTTTCGCGTTCTAGGAAAGGATTCCTCGTCGGGAAATGGCCTCACCCTGGCCTTAAGTGGGCTGATGTCTACTATTTCCATTTATGAGGTGAATTCGACGAGAAGGCGATAACTTCGTTTTAGTGCGTTGAGGGTTCATTCGTGGAAAAACAACAACTACGCGGTCACGAACGGACTGTCAATTCGTTGTCGTTGAGCAAGGACGAAACTCGCATGATCTCTGGCTCGATCGATTCGCATCTCAAAGTGTGGAATATGGAGGGTCAGGGTCATCAACCTACAAACGAAAAATATTCTTCAGAAAATGCCCCGCAAATCGAGAAAGCTAAAGAGAATGACGACAACAGTAAACGAAGGAAAGTCTGCACGACGATGGTATGTGATAATCTCTATAATAAACCCCAATTGTTTTAGACTCCAATGGTCACGTTGGGAGGACATAAGGACTCTGTGACGGCGGTTCGATGGTCTACGCACAATCCATCACACTGTATCTCCGCTTCTGCAGATCACACCATCGCCACATGGGATCTGGAGCTGGCAGGCGAAATCTCGCGGATACGGCATTCAAAGGTTCGATTTGCAAACACATCCTTTTTACATGATTTAGGCTTACACATCGATTGACGTCAATAAGAAGAATGGTCTAGTTATCGCTGGATCAGCCGACGCCCTGCCAAGGCTTTACGATACGCGAAGCACAGGTATACCCAAAACTTAATTAAAAGGATGATCAAAATTAATTTTTAGAAGGAAACGTTGTCAAACAATCCTATGTGGGCCATCGCGGCTGGATCTCGTCTGTGGCTTGGCATATGGACCAAGAAAATGTGTTCGCCACTGGTTCCTATGATAATGTCGTCAAAATGTGGGATGTCAGGTAGCTTGAGGTTATACGATACTTAAAGAGATAGGGGCGGCATAAGTCAATCGATTACGCGGGGGAGAGAATGTGTCTTTGCCCCCCCCCCCCGCCCCCTCCCCCCCCGCCGGCGGGGGGGGGGGGTGGCCCCCCTCCCGGGGGCCGGTGCGGGGCCCCCTTTTTCTCTAAATAATTTTTAGGAGTGGAAAAACATCACTATTCGACCTCCACGGCCACGATGATCGTGTATTCTGCGTTGCCAGCGGCCCTAATGGTAGCATTCACGTGTTCATTTTAGCTAAATTTTCTAGGAATCGTCGCCTCCGGAGGAGCGGATAGCGCGCTGAAAGTTTATGGTAACTAATACGTTTCCAGCTGTTGATTCTTTGTTAAAGTTGTTGTTTTTCTTTGTTGTCAATAAATACTTTCCGATTTTCTTCTATTTTTTTGCTCGGATATAATCGGTATGGTCCGTTGACTTACCTCCAGCTTGTGCAAGTCCTGAAGTGAAAAAATCATCATTATTTAGGTAGCCGAACCACAAACAAGACGCCAAGATGGGGAAGGGTTTTCAAAATTTCATGTCCAAAAAGGACTTCCATCCAAGTGCATGGTGGAATTTAAAGAAGGTGCGTTGGTTGTATTTTTTTTTGCTATTTGGTTCTTTCTAATTTTATATTCTTGATGATTTATCAGTTTTAGGTATGGGAAGCGAAGGAGCTGCAGGCGCAGAAGGACAAACGCGAAGAGGAGATGAGAGTTGCTTATCAAAAGGAGCAAGACGTGTTGAACAACAAAGCCCTCCTCGGAGACGAAAAAGCCAAACTTGGTCTTTCGTTTATGTATGAAGCGCCTGTCGGAATTAAAAAGTAGGTTTTTTAGTTTTTGAAATTCTAAAAAACTCTAGAGAGGAGGAGCCGAAAGAAGAGCCGCGATTCGAATGGCAGCGCAAATACCAAGCCCCTCGGGAAGAATGGGCCAAAGGAAATCAAAACATTGTCGATCAACCTTTCGGCATTCAAGTTTGTCCTAACCGGCGTTTTTTCATGACTTTTTTAGGTTCGTCATGTTCGCTGTGTACGCTGCCACAAATGGGGGCATCTCAACACCGACAGTGAATGCCCGCTTTATGGAAAGAGCGGGAATTTCGAAGATGAAGGATGTAAGATTTTTGCTTACTTGGACCTATTAAAATTTTAGATGCCAACAACCCGTCGGATCTCCTCAAACAGGCACGCAAGAATAGACTAATTGCTGAACGCGAAAAGGCTGGCCCCAGCACCAAGGTATTCCAATTGAGTAATAGTCCTTATCGGAAACAGGTTGATGTCAATGACTTGCGCGAGGATGAGCCTGATAAGGTGCAACTCGCTGAAGAAATGCGTGAAGAACATGGACTTCGGATCAAAGGCGGCATCTTGGACACGCTCAGGTATAGTAGTCTTTTTTTGCAATTGACGCATTGTGGTTTCAGGATGGACGATCAGCTGGCAAAGCTCGGAACCAAGGTTGTTAAGAATGAAGCTGAGGCAATGAAAGAGTTCTTGATGACCATGACTGAGAAGGACAAGAAAATCTTAATGAAGTATGAGTTCTACTGATTTGGCTTCATCGAATTTTTAGAAAACTAATGGGCGGGGAGAAGAAATCGAAGAAGGACAAGAAAAAGGAGAAGAAGAAAGCGAAGGAACTGAAGAGACTCAAGAAGGAAAAGGTGCCTAATTTCGTTCTTTTTTTCGTCTTCAGAAATTCCATACTTGTAACCAAATGAATTTTTAGGTAAGGGAAAAATCGAAATCCAAGAAAAATTCCGTCAAGCGTGAAGCCTCCAGTGAAAGCGATTCATCCGCCAGCGACAGAGAATCCTCTAAAGGTATAGTTTTTTATTTTCCTAACGAATTTTCAGCCCGCCGAGAAGCTGTGAAAGAAGAGCCATCAACACCAAGCGAGCGCTCGGCATCCCCTCAACTTCATCGAGAACGCGGACGCGACCAAATTACTGATATCGGGCCGAAGCGGCCTGATGGTATCTGCGTTATTTTCTAACCGATGATTATTTATAGGATACGATGCGACCAAGGTCAAGGAGGAGCCAATATCGCCGCCGACCACTCCGAGAAACTCCCCTCGACCGCGAGACCGGTCTCCAGATGAACGACGACGAGACAGGTCTTCTGATGACCGACGCAAGGATAGGTCTCCAGAAGATAGACGCAGAGACAGATCTCCGGATAATCGACGCAAAGGTATAATTTTTACTTCTTTGGGCATCGTTGATCAATCGAATGGTCTTAGGGGAACTACACTTTCGTGTTCCCGCCTAAAATTATTTTATTTTTATAGAAAAGCGCGCTGCCAGCCCCAGCGATAGATCGAGCCGCCGCCGCCACGACCGAAGTCGTTCTACCGATCGTCGTCGTAACCGCTCCGTCTCCCGGGATCGCAGCCGTAGAGACCGCCGCCGACGAAGCAGAAGCTGAATTATTATTTCCCTTTCATTGTTCGTGTGTTCCATGTAAAGTTTTTGATTATCCCCCATTTAGTGATTTTAGAAATTGTACATTGGGATGTGCTTACTATTGGATCGCTGCGGTTTACTCGAATAAATATCTTGGGACATTTACTAGTTTGAAAAATGGATTGCCATCGATTATGCTATTCGAATGAAATGCGGTCAAATTTGCAACATCTGCTGTAGTTCGATGCCGAACGTCAAATCTGAGGCTCCGAAGGAGACTGGCGATAAGCCGAATCGGCCCCGGGATAAATCACAGCACTTGAAGCACAAACTGGCGGAGCTGACTAACGTGAGATTTTACCTTGCCTTCTAATTGTCTTTTCAGGAATATGAAGCGTTGAAACAGCTGAAGCACACCCTCGAAGCGGCGAAGCGAGAACTTGAATTCGAGGTAACTTAATTTTGCAGTAAAACAATCGGTTGTTTGTTTAGATTGAAACCGACAAAAGCTGAAGCCGCGGGACAATAATTTATTTTCGTTGTATTTTGTTCAAGTTTGCGGGTGCAGTTCTGATAAACGGGTATTGACTATTGTCGTTGATTTTTGTGTGTCGCCAGCTGCGATTTGATGCCCTGTTTCTCCTGACTGGACCCGGAAATATAATTGCTTAGATGCCAAACAAGTTTGCTTTCTTCGATATACGTATTGGGAAGGAAGGGCCGTTTCGCCTGGAATTCGAGTTGTATTCCGATATAACGCCAAAAACGGCTCTGAATTTTGTCGAGGTAATTAGTCTTTTTCTGTTAATCTATTATTCAGTTTTGTCGCGGGACCAAGATCGATGGCAAAGTATTATCATACAAGAACACGCTCTTCCATCGGGTTATCAAGGATTTCATGATTCAGGTTGGACTCCGGCTTGATGTTGTAATACTGTGTATCTCTAGGGCGGCGATATTATGAATGGTGACGGTACCGGGCGGGTCTCAATCTACGGAAAAACATTCCCAGACGAAAACTTTCGGATCAAGCATGACAAGCCTTACTTCCTCTCGATGGCGAACAGCGTGAGTTCTCGAGTTTAGAAACGAAATCATCCTGATTAGGGCCCGAATTCGAACGGCTGTCAGTTCTTCATCACCTGTGTTCCGTGCCCGCATCTTGACGAAAAACACGTCGTGTTTGGCAGAGTGAGGGCTTTTTTTGCTTTTCTAATTAGCTTTTTTTTAGCTGATCACTGGACAAAAAATTATCGCGAGGATCGAAAATGCTTCTGTTGACAATAAAAGCAAACCGCTGGTCGATGTAAGCCATCCGGTTGCGTTGTAAACTATATTTTTTTTAGGTTTTAATCACAAACTGCGGCGAATTCAAGCCAGAGGAGAAGGCCAAGAAAAGTGAAAAGGCGGCTAAGAAAGAGAAAAAGAAGGCGGAATCATCGGATAGCTCCTCATCTGACAGCGATAGCGACAGTGACAGTTCTTCTGGGTCATCCTCATCAGATTCGTCGTCAGAGAGTGAGGAGGAAGTGGAGCAAGAAAAGTAGGTTGCAGCTTTTCAATTAGATATGGTCGTATTTACGTAATCAGGAATTCCTCTTTGTTTTGGGGTGTTTTAGTGGTTATAAAATTGCTTTTAGCAAGGAAGGCGCGACATCAACGATGAAGGCCTCGGATATTCCGGATTTTCCTGCGGAGAGAAACTTTCTCTATCGCCACAGCAAGACACCGGAACGGAAGCCAAAAGATGATGAGAAGGATGGCAAGGAGAAAAAGAAGAAACGCGCCGATTCTCGCGAGAGGGTTGGTTTCGGTTATTTCTGAACAGCGCCCAAAACCCGCTTCGCGGGCCTTGGGCGCTGGAATGCGGCCTTGGCATGAGAAATTTGACTTTCCGTTAGCTTGGGTCCTTCAGACCCCTCCCTTCATCCGACCACACCCGCGCATGCAACTTGCAAGAATGAGGAAATTTGTATTTTTTGGAATTATGAAGTAGCCCTTCCTGCCGGAACACACACACAAAGATACGCGACCAAATTATATAAGGTAGGATATTCTATCAAATATTTTAGCGAGATCGCCATCGCGATCGCAGCCGTTCCCGCGATCGTCGTAATCGAAGCCGTTCGCGAGATCGTCGTGATGACCGACGTGATTCACGCCGAAGGGTAACTAAAACTTAATTTTTGTTATTTCTTTATTAAGAGCTCACGTTCACGCTCACCTTGGCGTTCGCACAGAAGCGGCGGTCGCGGTGACCGGGGCCAGGTGTGTTTAGCTTTTGAAACTAGACTAAGCCGCTTATAGGTCAAAGGCCGTGGTCCAATCATGCTGTTCTCCGCGCTGCGCGGAGAGGAACCATTGCGCTGGAAAAATGCCACGGTAAACCTCTTGACGGTTCAGGCAACTTTTGTTTCCAGAGCCGGACCGAGAAATTCAGCGATTACATGAAGCGTGAAGAGGCTAAGAAGGAAAAGACCGATGAGTGATCTACTACCATCGTTTTTGTTACGTTGTGCGCTAAGAATTTTTTCACTATTTATCTTTGTTCACATGGTCTCGAATAAATCGTTTGCGAATTTGTCCATGCACTCAAGCGCGCTTATAACGAACATTTTATTCGGAGAAAACGGAAGAATCATATTGTGTTTTATTGGTGTAGGATGCCCCGCGGTAAAGCTGGTCCGGCTAAACGCAAGGATAAACGACCCGCAAGGAGCGACCGGCGGGAACCCGAGCTTGAAGAGCGAAGGCCGAGTGCCAGCGAGGAAGCTGCTGAGTCTTCGGATGAATCGGGCGATGAGGGATGCGGTTCAGCGCAAGAATTGACAGTGAAGCTCGCCATGTACGACTTTGAGCAATGCGACCCGAAGCGCTGCTCTGGGAAGAAGTTATCGCGGTAAAATATGTTCCTTTAACTTATTTTATCGAACTTTTTCGGTCTTAACATTCGCTTAAAAGTTTTTTTTCAGGATCGGCTTGGTCGATGAAATACGTCTTGGCTCACGCTTCGCCGGACTAGTGCTGTCGCCAACCGGGGTTTCTACGCTTTCGCCCCGTGATCGCGACTTCATCGAACAAAATGGTCTCGGCGTCGTCGACTGCAGCTGGAAAGAAGTTGAGAGAACGCCTCTACACAAGGTTAAGGCCCCCGAACACCGCCTTTTGCCGTATCTCGTGGCCGCCAACCAAGTCAACTACGGTCGCCCGTGCAAGTTGAATTGCGCTGAAGCTCTGGCTGCCGGGCTGCACATTTGCGGATTCCGAGACGACGCGAAGATTGTGATGAGCAAATTCGGATACGGGCCTCATTTCTTGGAAATGAACAACGAACTGTTGGAAATCTATGCGTCGTGCACTGGGCCTGAAGACGTCATCGAGAAGCAAAAAGAATATCTCGAGCGGATCGACAGGTGGCTTTCATTTATCAAGACTAAGATATTCGTCGAGTCCTGAGTTCGGCCTATAATTTTATTTTTTAGGGAGCACGAAGAAGAACGAAATCGACCAATGGATCTTCCACCATCTGAATCGTCTGAAAGCGAAGAGGATGAATAGCCATTTGCACGTTGATAAAGTTGTATCGTTCTTGTACTCCACAGTAGAGAGCCATGTTTCAATCCAAAAGCTATTTGGGGACACTCTTGAGCTGGTCTGTGGTCGATGGTCTAATTCGATCTCTACTGTAAAGTTCTAGGTGGATGCCGGGCCTTGGGAAGAATCTTGAACCAATAAGCACTAACCGCAAGCGATTATCGATCGATAACTCGCCTAGACGTGTAAATTTTGACGAAGAAGCCAAGAGGTAGTGTGCCTTTAGAAATGCGAGTTATAGTCATTTCCAGACGACGAGCATCCTTTGAAGCCCAGTGGCAACCCGGGAAGATTATACTCGCCAAAAGTGATATTTGCCTTTAGCTCTATTTCCGATTTTAGCGTCAAGCCCCTTACCGAGGATTGCATCCACTACTCGAAAAGCTGAAGACTTGAAGCGGTGCTACTGGTTTTTTGAAAAATAAGATATTCTAGCCTGTCTGCTAGTGGCTCCCGGAAGACCAGGCTCAGCAATGGTACACCCGGTCAGTTTTTCAGGTTTCTTTGGCCACTGTTTTACACAAACATCTTTATGTTCGCCCCTTAAGCTCGTCCATCGTTCCGGAAGGAAGTGAAAGAAGAGTTTGTGCCCCATATTTCGGACGAATCGTTGTCACCGTGCAAACCGGCACCTCGAACTTCCATCAACGGCGGCAAACAGAGCACGTGGATTGGACGAAACATAAAATTCAGCCAGGATTCGCAAAACGCGGTGGTATGTCTCGACTGAAAAATTAAGTTTGGTTAATTGTCAGATCGGCTCCGAACTCGAGTTCACGATAAAAGAGGAAAAACTCGAGAGCCAGTGTTCCCTCGAGGTCAAGCCATCGTCAAGCGTTTGCATGGATTGGCTCGACTTGGATATTTCCCCGATAAAGCAAACATTTTATCATTACTAATCGACAAATGTTTAGAAAGCACGAGCCAATAGTATGGACCGTAAATTGCAAAATTAACGAAAGCTTGGAGGCTCAAAATGGCTATTCGCAGAATCCAGCTATCAACAATATGTAGGGGTTCGGGAACAATTTTTATTTTGCCTAGAATTACATCCGAGGATGTTTTCGCGAAGAGTGAAGCAGCAACAACAAGAGTTTGTTTTTCGTGAGGTTTTTTACATTATTATTTAGTCACAGCTTGCGGCAGCTGTCAAGGAGGAATGGTCGAGTGCCAGCTCCGAATTTCCCAGTGCACTGGCGAATTTGGAAAACGCAGAAACAGGCGCCTTCCCCATTTCGAGATTATCACAGAGAAGTCTGCGCGAAATAGTTAAGGTTTGTAATTCTATTATTTCCTATTTAATTTTAGATTGATTACACGCCACCAAAAGCAAGCCGAGGTTCCTCAGAGTATGCCATTCGCTGTTCCCAATCACCACTCGACTGCCTCAAGGTTTTTCATTGTTATCAAACATAATACCTTTTTTGAAGGCCCCTTCAACGAGCCAAAGGAGCCGAAACTTTACTCATGAGTTGAAAATTGTGCCCGAGACACCTCCACGAGTACCCACGACTGTCAGACGGCGAGAAACGATCGAATCAGACATCACTTTTGTTGATGGACCGGCTCAGCCGGCACGAAGAACACATTTCGAGATAGAGGAGTGTAGCCAGGTATCCAATTTGTTTATGGCTTCAACGTCAATTTGTAGCGATCACCACAGCCATTGACTGTCGAACCAACCCAAGCCGAAGCCGAGGCAACAGGTTTCGAGTTCAGTCGAATGTTAGAGGAGCCTCAACCCGAGCAATTTGGACCTAACGATACTTTGAGGATGCAACGGAGCGGGTGATCTATCACTCATTCTGATTGAATTGATTTTTAGAAAGCTGACCGGCTTCGCCCGTTCGTTGCAGTCATATTTCGGAGCCGTTCGCTCCGAACAAAACATTCAACGGCGTCGCCTAAAAGCCGCAGCCGCCACTGAAGTTACCATCGACCGCGAGAAGTCCAAGCAGTGCTGGGGTGTTGAGGTATTTTCCCCATCTTTATTTGTAAGATTTTTACAGTTTCTGTCTTCGGATCTGGGCCAGATAGTGCGCCCGGTGGCGAGACAAAATTCGAAGGTGACCGGTCGGCTTCAGACGGGCTACGACTTGTTTTCGTTGCCGGACGGCTTGAATGTGTTATTCGATCCGAATTTCGTTTGATTGCTCTGTTAGCTCGAATGGTTGTCGTATAGAGAAGGCACGATGGTGAAAAACTGATAAAATTTCGAATATTAGGACCTGCTATTGAATTACCGCACCTTGAAACAAGCTATGATAAGACGGTATGGTAAGAACTTTAAACGCTGGACGAATGTTATTCACATCACTGAAATCAGCCCGAAGAGTTCTATCAGTGTGCAAATTTCATACGGAAATTCGACGTCGAACGGAGACTTGTTAGGCGGCTTCCTCGGACTCAGAATTCTTACAACCAGCCTTTTTTGCAAAAAATGCAACAACGTCTCGAATGAGCAGACATTTTTAGACTATTAAGCCGTCTCTCGGATCAGCTTGGCAATGGCGCGCCTGAGATTGCCAGCCAGGCGATGATATCGGATCCGGGATGGCTGCTTGTGTGGGTTCGGCGCCTCTACCCGGGAGTCCCGATCCAGAAGAACCGGTCGTCCATCCCCGCCGGGCTCTGCCATCACCCGCTATCACGGTCATCATCCCGCACTCCTGGGCTTATTTTTTTGGTGTGCCAACATGGTAGGGTGGGGCACGACTGGTGCCCTTATATTGCCATACTTTTGGGCCATTGCCGTTTATGGGTCGTCGACTGTTGATGAATTCTTTGCAAGAGATGATCCCGAGCCGGGTGTATCATTTTCAGGGGATCCGAGTGGTAGAGGTGGGGTTTTTTAATTCTTTGATTTTGAGCGGGGAACCTTGCAAGGGTTATCAATAAGTAGGGTAAGAATAATAAAATAGCCGGATTAATTATTAGTAGGTTGCTCAAAAATAGGTAATGAGAGGGCTTCTTGAACTTTTATAGTTGCGCACGGTAATTTTTGAGCCTTATAAAATTGCTTATTATTGTGGAAATATCTTCCATTAATTTATTTTCAGCAAAATATTTCAGTAGTATTCACTATCAGTCTATAGCCTCTATCAAATTGCGTCCAAAACAAGATCCCGAAAACTAGCTAAAACTGGCGAGACATGCCAAATAGGTATTCTTACTGTAAAACAGGAAGCCCAAAAAAGTAACTTGTCTTTAGCGTCTTAACCGTATTTTAGTTCTATGGGATTCTGAACTCCGCGGCCATCGCGCTCCACACGCAGCCAACGAGCCCGCAACGTTACTACACCGCTCAACCCGGCGAAAGCGCTGCTCCTGCGGCTGCTCAAACTGTGACCAATTCCCGAATCGACCTTGTTGCTCTGCAGGTTGGCTTCAGCTTCTCGATTTTTACCAGCAGTTTTAGAATGCTGCGGTACGAAGCCACTGCCGCTAGCTTGTTGCCCACCGCCCCCGCCACCAAAACCCTGTTGCCAGCCGGCTTACGGTCCCTGTTGTCCATCGTGAGTTTCGTGAACCAGCCGATTCCCCTTTCGTGACTTCTGGAAAATTCGAAAATTTCGAAAAGTATAAGAAAAATAAAATGTTCGATAATCGATTTTTCGAAAAGCCATGAACAAAAAATTTGGATCTAACTACTAATAGGAAAAGGCTTCAAGGAGTGCATGAAATAGCCAGCATATTTTTTGGAATTAGAAATCGATAAAAAATTTTCGCAAAAATGATTTCCGGAAATATGATTTTCGAAAGAATGAGCTCCCACCGATCGGGTCAATAAACATCTTTTCAGGACCCCGAATTGTTGCCCACGTCCATGCTGCCAGGGGAAACGACCGCCATTCCTGGAAGACGAGGAAGACTACGATGAGCCTGGCGGTAACCCACAACAACCGGTTAGTTTTCCCTGTTTTCTTTGAAGCAAAAATGACGATTCCATTTTCAGGAGCAGCCAATTCCACCGAAAACCTGCTGCGCGGGCGCTGCCGTTCCTCCTCCACCTCCCCCTCCTCCACCCCCGCCACCGCCGCCAGGTGAAAAAGTTTCTATCTTCTTTCTCTAAGAAAAGATTTAGAGCCTCCCGTCGAGTGTTGCGACGATTTGCCGCCACCTCGGAAAAGCGGATGCGGATGCCCGAATGGCGGTAGGCAAACGTTTTCCTAACTTCCTAATTTAATAACATTTTTTTTCTAGATTGCGGATGCGGCAAACCCTGTTGTTACTACCAAAATCCGTCATGCTGTGCCCAGGTGAGACTTATTGATGGTTCTTTTAAAGTTTATAGGGTCTCCCCTGTTGCCCACCAATTCTTCCATTGCCAAAACTGCCGTGTTGCTTGAAGCCCTCAACCCCGCAATGCTGCACCGCTGCCCCACCTTGTTTACGGTATGTTAAATGGCCTAGTAAAGACCGCTGTCAAACAAAAAAAGTGTGTGGGAAGTGGTTTTGAGTGAAAAACGGGTTATTTCTGCGCGTCTATTGTCGCGGCGCGTAGCTGTCGACACTCAGTCGACGCAAGGTCTTTTCTGTCGCTTCCTAGTACCTTGAAAATTAATTCGGATGAAGTGACATGACTAATTAAATTAATTAAATACCTCGTTGTTTTCAGTGCTTGCCCGGGCTGTCCATGTCGAAAGCGTGTGATGCTTGGGAAACGCGCCAAACGCGGGGCTCACTGTATGGCATGCGGTAAGGTTTCTTGCAGAACTACGAAATACAACTAAGTATTTATAGCCGCCGTAAACGGGCTGACGGCCCCTCGCGCGGGTGGTCTCTACGAGCGCTCGCGGGCTTCGAGGATTCGACGAGATGCGGGGGTAAATTTAATCTAACTCTTTTCTACGAAGACATCTACTAGGGATGTGCCCAATGCGTCAACGGCGAGCCTGTCAAGCAACGAGTGAAGCGAACAGCTGTATGCCACACCTCATGAAGCCAAAAATAAGCATTTCTTTCTAGTGCCAGCCCTGTACATATCTACAACCGCAATATTCTGAAAATAACCCGTTCCTCCCCGGTGGGCCCCAGCTGATGAGCCAGGTGGGCAGACCACTGAAGCGCAGCAAACGCGAGGAGGGAAAAGTAAGTTTTACCGCGCTTCCGTGCAGAAAATTCCAGTGCCTACCCCATCCCCAATGTACGCTGGCGCCGAAACGACGCTCGAGGCGAAACGTGCATTCACAGGTAAAGCTGGGCGCTGAGCTTTATCTTGAAATTCAGTACTGCGAGCCCTGCGGCGGTTTATATGGTCGCAGAAAACGCGAGGCCGAGCAGGACGCGTGCATTCGCAGGAATCTGGAGCAAAAAGACCGGGTATGAATTAACCCAGGGTCCAAAAATGTCATTTTTAGTGCGAGAAGCAGTTCCACGATGAATTTGATGCCGAAGATGGAGAGGGGTCTGTGCTGATGCGGATGAAACGGCAGGTAGTAGAATTTTCGAAAATCAGCATTTCATAGCTAGGTTCCCTAAATTTTTTTCTAGGCATATGACGGCAAGGGATTACTGGACCTCGTGAAGGTGATGAGCAAAGCCGCTGCTGCTCCCACAGGTCTGGCCCTCCCTTTCTACCTAGCAGTTACTGACTTATTATAGTGACCGCCGGTTGCGTTAAGTTCCCTGCATGTGTTCTTGCTCAGAAAAGAAGAAGGAAGCGCCATGCAGAACGGATGGAGCAGTATCACAAGTGCGCAAGATTTGAAACTAATCACTCCAATTAAGGGCACTTGCCGAGCACAAAGAGCAACATAGCCGTGTAAAACGGCAGTTTTTTACCCCCGACCAGAGCGCGGTAAGTTTAATTGAATTTCAGGAAAGTTAGCTTTAGAACTGCGTCCCCTGCCCAGCTTGGGTGACCATGGCATTAGCTAGCCGGAAGAAACGTGGAGCCGCGGAAAATGACGAAGATCTTGTCGTGGGCCTATTTTTTGATTCATAGCCTGATTCCAGGAGCAGGATGGACCGAAGATGAGTCTCTCGGACGCGATCAAAGATATACGCCGGAAAAAGGGCTATGAACCCGGCTTTAAGGTATGGCTATACCGACTATTCAAATATGTTTTCTAGCACGGAACTCGTTCGGGTGGGCACTGTGACCAAACGCACGACTGCTTGAATGAGGTAGAATACGCCGTGTACATGAAGGTCTATCATACGCGGACAAAGAGAAGCGTATGTCTAATTTCGCAGAGCGCGTATGAAAAATTCTAGGCGAAGAGGAGCAAGTGCACGCAATGCGGAACCTCGGATCTTTTGAGGAAGAGGGTCAAGAGGAGCTTCGGGCCAGATGTCAACGCGTCAGAGGTCAGATTTTTGAGTCTACGAAATTTTAAACGACGCGATGCTAACAAAAACGTTTTAGCATGATTGCCTTGCTTTCCCTCTATGTCGAAACCGCGTCAAAAGAAATGTAAGTTCCAACTAACCATTTTTCAAACCCCGCCTCCTCCAGTTCATCGATTGCAATATCTGTACGGCGACACCGAATCGTCGGAAGCGTACCGTGGAAACAGAGGATCTCGTGGGTTGCACACAAAATGAATTGAGCTTTATTTTAGAATTGCTACCCATGCCCGCAGGGCTGATCACCGGAATCTCGACCATTCCGTGATAAGCAGTTAAAAGCACTGCGACCTAATAAAATCTCTCAAGGCATAAAACAGGCTGCAAACGGCAACCGCATGCAGTTATCACAATAAATGTCAACCGGTATGAAGCCAGGAGCAAAACATTCACATAGAAAGCAGGATAAGGCACCTAATACAGATTAAATTCAAAGGTTTTCTTCACGCTTCTTCTTCTTCTTCATCATCTTCCTCACTTTCTTCTTCTACCGGCTCTTGTCGGGCCCTATTATTCAGCTCGTTTAGGTAAAGGCAAATGTTGTCGGCGAGCGGCCCGGCGAGTTTCGCCCATTTTGCGACCTTTTCATTCACCTAAAATGTAAAATTAGCTAGGTAAAACAAAATGAGCTCACCTCGGGGGTGTCGAACTCGGGCTTTTGCGCTCGAAGCACACGCCAGACATATGCCTAAAAGGCGGTAAAAAACAGGCCAAATCCATGCTCACCATATTGCTCGAGTAAACAGGGACTTCGTCCGGGTTGAGACCGGTGGCAGGCGGGGCGTTGCCAGCCCAAGTGGTGAAGCGGCCCTCATTCTCGGCCAAAAGCTTTTCGCATTCTGACACCGGTTTCTAAAAGATAAATCGATATCAACGATCCTCAAGCATACCCAGGTGAAGCTCTCATCGCACAATAGCTCTGACGGTTGAAATTTGGCCTTATAACGCATTTTAGGACAGGTGTAGATGTAATATCCCATGTAGTAGTATTTTAGTTCCGCCGATTTTGTCCTTAGCGTCCGCTGAATGTAGTCGATCTCTCTAAAGGAAACCATTGATCATTAACCAAGTAGGTATACCTGAGAGCCGTGTACGTCCCAATCGTCAAGAATTTGAAATCCGGGTCGTAGAAAAGGTATTTGCTTGAAAAGCACCTAAAAAGAGTCCACCGGAGAGGAGACAGCAAACCATGGAAGGATGTCGATCGCACCAACGGCCACAATTTTTCCGTCTAGGATATAGCGCTGATGGAAGCTGCCGTAGGTGCTAGAAATAAAATGAATCGTTATTCCCCAAGACTTACATCCCGTTTCTAAGCTCCTTCCTCAATGGGGTCGAACCAAGGAAATTGTCGAATCCACTTTTTGAAGCCCTTTTATCATTGTGGATCTGTTCTATTCAATTTCAGTGAGCATGAAAGTTACCGTAGTCTGGTATTTCAAGTAAACTTGATAAGCTTCGTGCTCGCGAGCCCGATATTCCTCAGAGCCAACGAGGACCGTCTCCACCTATATAGGCCGTAAAGGCAGCGGGTATCAAACAATCACCTCGAGCCTGTGTTTCCATGATTCATCCCACTCTGGAAGTAAGTCGGCCAAAGTCTTCTCACGCGATTTCTCTTTTTGTCGTCGTTTTTCTTGCTCTGCGGCAACATCCAGTCCCTTTTCCTGCCATCGTTTGATGGCTCGTTCGCTGAAATTCAAATACGTAAGAGAGCTCAAGCCTAAAAGAACACAAAATTAACCCACCGCCGGATCAGTTTCTTCTTTCTCGGCCCTTCCGTAGATACCTTACGTTCCTTCACAGCCGCTGGAGGTCTTTTTGCGCTCGGCTCATCCGAAGCTGAACTCGCCGCACACCGCTAAGCAAAAATTCCAACTACGTATTGTTTTCTTACAGCTTGGCCTCCCTCTTCCTTGACAAAACGCTTGGGCTTGTTGTCGTTCTTGAGAAAGTCAACAGCAGCCCGAAGAACCCGTTTCTGGGTGCGAGACGGCCGGAACTTTGTCACGTCCAATCTGAAGCAATAAAAAACCAAAAAAATTAACAACCTAATCGTATACTGGGGACAACACGTCGTATCCATCGTTGGTTTGTACAAGTACGTTCCCGATCTAAACATATTTGTTTTACGAACACATTCAAAATTTACCGGCGCCACCCGCGATCCAGCAAAATTTGATAGTCATACGGGTTGAACCACGGGGCGAGCATGCCTTAATTTGGAATTTTCTAGGCATGAACTCGGCGGGACCGCGGGTGGCAGCAAGGTAATTTAACATTTTCACCGATTCCCCAGTGTGCCAAATGTTAGAATAGCCACCACTCACCGGTCCCACCCACAATCCAGCAGAAATTGCTCATCATCAGGATTTGCTTTCAATAGAAAGAGGCCTAAACCAACTACTTATTCCGAAAATTAAGCGAAGCAAAAATCTAGAATTACCGAAGGAGCACGATTTGCCCTGACGTTCGTCACCACTGGTACTTGAATCGTCACTTCCTAGGAAAAAGACCGTCAAGAGAACCAGTAATTGTACCATTTGACGTTTCCCGCTTCGGCTGGCAGTATCCACAACGACCATCTGTCACTTGACCACACCATTGAACAAACGACAAAAGTCGTTGATCTGGCATGGCCTGAAGCATTTCCAAAATATTCATGTCTTGCTACTTCTCAATAATTACGTCACAAAACAGGTGATTGATGATGCCATTCTCACAAAAACTTTATTGAGCAAAATAGCTTTTGATAAATCAACAATCCTAGATGACTAATTGTACACGAGATTCAAAGCACTTCGGCGATCGTCTTCTTTTGTTTTTCCAGGCGCTTGGCTAGCTTTTCCGCTTTCTTCTCTTCTTCTTCCTTTTGGTTAAACATCACTTCGAAGCGTGGGTCCTTGGGGTCGATCCAATATCCAAAGTATTCCTAGGAAAAAGTGTTAATATAAAAACAGAACAACCTGGATTTCTCGAATTTTCTTTTCCAAAGCCACTTCCTTTTCATCTTTCTCGCGCTCCTTCTTGACTTGACTGGCCTGATATTTAGCCAGAATCTCGGGATACTTCTTTTCATTTCGCTCCAATTCGGCCAGCCTAAAAGAACGATAGATGACGGTCGAAACAGATTACCGAAGGGCATCCTGTTTCTGCTTTTCCAATTTGTTTTTTTCGACTTCGCGCAGCACATCCTTGTATTCCCGATAGAAGCCTATCGCACGTTCTTCCTCAATTTCCTACACAAAGATAATCCAGACGCCTGGATTTACCTCCAACGTCGGCCAGCATTGGCGGACATCTACGCCGCTCTCCAGACCGTAGGTGCCAAATCTAAAATACGGAATGGAAGTGAGCCATCCGGGACAAAACCCACCGTTGTTGCAAAGAATGTCTATCACGTTCCCATTCGTATTCCATGGGTGGGATACCCCCGGCAGCTACCACTCGATGACGCGAGCGCATGCTGAAAATGGGTTAAAAATCTAGTGAACCAAACATACGCAGAAATATCCTTAGAATGCACTCTGCTCTGTGTAGAGGCGTCAACATCATTTGTCGCTTCCACCTGATCAAGATTTTACAATAACAAAAGCTAAAGCAACCTCCGGCGTTGACGATGTAGTCGCGAATCCACGCAAGGCGCGTCCAACGACAAGTATTCGTCTACTCAGCATCCTAACGGAATATGCTACGATTTTTTGTTCTTGTATGTATTTCAACAATGTGATATGTCGTTCAGGGGCACGCGGTCGGCTATGATCATTTATTTCAAGCATGGGAATATGATACCAGTGTCAATATGGGCATAATTATTACACCTCCTGCATTGTATATGAAAGGTTTGATAGAGATCGGGATGGAGATACTGTATGATGAATTATTCGTAAACGTCATCCTCATTGTAGATGGTGTCGGACATTTGCCACACCTAAAGGACGATGGAATCCAAGGTATTCAAGATTACCTGAAGGATGTTATCCTCAGCAACCGAGCAGACGAGCCAGGGCTCGTTCTGATTCCACGAGAAGTCACTAACTTTGGCAGTGTGGCCACCATGGATGAAGAGCAGCTCCGGAGGACCGTCCTGAAATAAGTTGCAAAAAACTATAACAACAAATACCTCTGCATCTTCAGCTGATTGGGTCTCTCCGATTTTGCTCAGATCCCAAATGTGGACGCGACGATCGCTACCCGAAGAAGCCAGGATAGTTTCATTGTGGGGCGACCATTGGACCTATTTTACAATTAATTGGTGACATTAAAGCAAACCTGGAAAATCTCATCTCGATGCGACTGGAATGAGTGGAGCTTATTCTTCAAATTTCTCAAGTCCCACAGCCCGACGGTCTGCAACAAAGGCTTAGCTAAGTAAAGCACAGGGCAAAACCTTATCAGCAGAGCCGGTGCAAAGGATGTATTCGGAGTAGGGGTTGAACGATAAACAATTGACTTCTTGAGTGTGCGCCTCCACTTTGTGCGTCGGCTGGTTAGATTTTGATCTAAAAGCGGTTGAAAGTCGAAAACAAAAATCACCTCGTATCCCAAATTGTGAGGTTATGATCGTCGCTGACGGAGCCGAAGAGGGCTTCGTGAAGGACGTGCCATGCGACATCTTCTACGACCGATTGATGTGGGTATTTGGCCTTCGAATCCAAATGACCGCCAGAGCCGCTCGCTGTATTTGCGGAGATGTCCCAGAGGCACACCTAAAAAAACAGTACTTTGCGATTTTTCGAAATCCCCCAACCGTTCCATCGTCACTGGCGGAAAGAAGATGTCCCATTTTGTTTGTATTCCATGAAAGGCCATATCCTTCGCGAGTGTGCCCACGTAGCCGCAGTTGAGGCTTGCAGACTCCATCGCTTGCCGGGACAGCTGTGTGACGAGTGTAGTCGAAGATGAACACCTAGAAAATCCAGGGTTAGCTAAAAACAAGGGAATAACCTCGGCGCTTGGAGATTTCGTTGCAATGATGTGTGGGTTTTGTGGCATATATCGTGCCCTGTTGACTTCGCCTTCATGGTTGATGCGGATTTCAGGCTCGATTTTTCCAGTCACGGCCCCAAAGCCACCATATTCTAAAGGCAACATATAGCTTTTGTACTTGGATTAGTTTACTACCTCCTTTATCCGAATCATACTTGGATTGATCAAACTGGGCATCGTCTATGGGAAGTTGAAGTTTGGAGATGACAAGGTGATTTTGTTCGTCGGTTGTGTGGGTGCCGAGCAACAGGCGGTAGACGTTGTAGTCCTGGCCTT